TGACATCTGCTAGTGATGGAATCGGAGAAGGTGTGTTTGAAATAGTAGAATATTTATGTCTCTGCCTCAGGTTCCTGGCACAGAGCTCCTGAGGCTCTTATAATTTCGTGAGTGATAGGAATGTCTTTTCTAAAAAGGTGACTCTAAAAGGGTTGGCTCCTCGATGGGGGTTGGTCACCCCCCAAACCAAGCCATGATGAGAAGGTTGGACCTTTCCCCCCCTCCAGGAACAGAAGAGAAGCTGAAAATGGAGTTAATGATCAATTGTGCCTACACGATGAATTCTCCATAAAAATCCCAAACTTTGGGGTTTAGAGAGCATCTGGGTTGGTGAACATGTGAAGGTGCTGGGAGGGGTTCTTCACCCCTGCCCCACACCTTGCCTTCTGCATCTCTTCCATCTGACTGTTTCCGGATAATATTCCTTTATAATAAAACAGTAAATGTAAGTAAGAGCTTCCCTGCATTCTGTGAGCCATTATCAAACCCAAGGAAGGGGTCACTGGGGTCACTGGAACCTCCAATCTATTGTTGATCAGTCAGAAGCACATATGACAAATGAACTTGTGACTTGTGTCTGAAGTAGGGGAACTGAGCCCTTAACTTGTGGGCTCTGACATTATCTCGAGGTAGACAGTATCAGTCTTGAGGTCATTTGTAGGACACCCAGATGGTGTCAAAAAGTTACTTGATGAGTGGAAAACCCACACATTTGAGGTCACAAGTGACCTGAAGTGTGGTGGCAGTATGAGAGTAAAAGAGGAACACACTGGAGGGCTTGTGTCCCCACTTACAGCATGGGAGGGGGGCACGACTTTTATGGCAAGAAACAGAGGCGTCAAGGAGGTCTCACCAGGCTGAAGTCCTCACACTTTTGTTCCATGAGACAGCCAGTTTTTGTACTGCCTCACAGAGGGCCCGCCAGGGTGACCCAGAGAAGTCGTTTTAGCCAACAAGAGGCCATAGCTGTGGCCACTTAGATCAAGAGTAACTTGTTCCCATACCTGTGCCTCCTCTGAGCCCCAGTACTTTGAGAAACTAGGGCTTGATGCGGGAATGAAGAAAAGGTGTGGCGGGGACAACCAGTCTCCTTGTTGTCTCTTGGGAGTCAGGTCCCAGCCCAAACCTCTGCTGGATGCAGAGAGGAGACAATGGGATTTACGCCAAGTCTGAAGTGAAGACTTAAGATCAGGCTGATTGTAATACTCAGCACTGACTGGAAAGTTACAGAATGTCCAAGACACCATTAGGGGCTAAAAAAAACTTTTAACAAAACACAACTGGATCAGTGATCAGAAATATGGAACCGTTTTATATTTATACTTCCTGGAGTTGATAGTCTCTGAATCACTGGTCATAGAGAGTATCTGGCGATGCCGAATGTCTGAGCTGGGTCTTCTGACTCCAGGCCTGGTGGTGTTTTGTCTTTTTGTTTATTTGTTTGCTTGTTTCATCTACTCAACATTGCCTTTTCCTGAGAGTACCGAGAAACAACTTCCTTCCTTCCCTCCAAGCTCCAAGTTATTACTGCGTAAGTCAGGACCTTTAGCAGACACATTTCAAAGTTACTGACCCCTGATCAAACCTGTTGCCTAGAAACTCGACCTTGTGATCTAGCCATCTCCCAGGTCAGACAAAGGCTGAAGGCTTGCTCTCCTGGAAGGGTTTGGGGGTCAAGGGAGGGAAACAGAGGCTCCTCTACCATCCCCCCAACACTCAGTTTATGACAAAGAATTCAGGACCCGTTGCACTCATCTATTTTAGGACCTGTCTGAGTTTGGATTTCACTTCTGCTATTCTGTGGTGTGGCATTAGGCCAGACCCTGTCCCTCTCCAAGGTCCATTGAGGAAAGGAGGTGGGCGCACTGGGGTGAGCCCACCCAGCAGTCGAGTCTGTGATGCCATTACTGGGTGTGTGCTGGTTTCTGGGGGCCAACTTCAGTCCTTGCAGCTCGTTTGGTTTGTGATTTTAGTCATTACTCAGAGGCATAGGCATGTTGGGAAGCAATGCGGGCCTTCTCACCATATCATCAGTTACCCGGTAACTGCCATATCGGGGCTCCTAACTCGTTAGGGCTTGGCAAGATGGTCTTTGGCCAAACATGTCCTTAACTGCCTGTGAGAATTAGGTGGGAATGATATAAGCTTTAAACAACAGTGCCTGGGTAAACGCTCAATATACGTTAATGTTATAAACATTTTCACAAATGAGTAGCTGTGGAACTTGAGTGGGTTTAGCTCCAGTGGATATCATCTCTGAATGTCTTCTCTTATCCTCTCACTCAGGATACTGTGACTTTCAGCATCTGCCACACCTCCCTGCCTGTGCTCGGGAAACGTTAGCCTGTCCGCTCACAGCCGTCTCCTCTCAGTCTAGGTTGTCCCATTTTGAAATGACATGTCTTTCCTTCTAAATCTCACCTTGCTCTTCAGCATCTTTTAATTCTTTTCAAAAGCCTTTTTAAAAGATGTTACTTATTTATTTTTAGAGAAAGGGGACGGGAAGGAGAAAGAGAGGGACAGAACCATCAGTGTGTGGTTACTGCTCACACTCCCCCTACTGGGGACCTGGTCATCAACCCAGGCATGCGCCCTGACTGGGAGTCAAACCACTGACCCTTTGGTTCGCAGCTGGCGCTCAATCCACTGAGCTACACAAGCTGGGGCTTCAGCATCTTTTAAATATTTATCTATTTATTTATTTTCTCCTTTGGAGAAAACAATGACATGTTTATTATCAGGTGATATAATTTGTTTTATATAGAACGTTCAAAATAATTTACAGATGAATTATTTAAAATAGACAAACTTTTCAAGGTTGATAAATACAAGGTTAATGTGCAAAATTCAAGTGTATTTTCATATACCAGAACCAACCAAAAAATGACATAGAAAGAAATATGCCATTTTTAATACAACCAAAAAAGTATCAAATACCTCAAGAGAAATCTAATAAAGATATATATGGCTGCTACATGGAAGATTATACAGCATTATATAGAGAAAAATTTATAAAGGGCAATACATGAAAGAAAAGACCATGTAAAATGCTGACTGAATTTTACAAATACGTCCATTGTTCCAATTAAATAGCTTCCTTTTTAAAATTTATTTTCATTTACAGTTGATGTACAATATTATATTCATTTCAAATGTACAACATAGTGATTAGACATTTATATACCTTACAAAGTGATCTCCCTGATAATTCTAGTACCCACCTGACACCATACATAGTGATTACAATATCACTGACTATATTTCCTATGCTATACTTTACATCCCCGTGACCATTTTTATAACTGTCAATTTGTACTTAATCTCTCCTACCTTTTTGCCCATCCCTCCAACCTCCTCTCATCTTGATCCTGTTGACTACAAGCTAGGTCAGAGATGGGGCTTTTATGTCTCAGCTTCTCCCCAGAGACAAGCCGAGTGTCCTGCTTGGGTTCCGCCTGCTATTTTGAGTCCTTTTCACTCAAAAGCGCCCTCTCCAGGAAGGGTTGCAAAGTACAGGGAGGCGTAGGGGAAGGAAGCTATGATTTCAGAGTCAGCTAGACACTGTCCTGTGTGGCTTCAGGTAAATTAACTCACCTCTCTGAATCTCAGATATCTTTACCATGGAGATACTCTTTATGGTACACCACAGTCATCATCAGATGATGTAACTATGAATAATTGACTGAATGTGATATGTAGGAGGTACTTAAAATATGAATTTCCTTGCCAGGCGGTGAAAGACAAATACCATGTGATCTCACCTATAAGTAGAACCTAATCAACAAAACAAACAAGAGAGCAAAATAGAACCAGAGACAAGTAATACAGAACAAACTGACAGTAACCAGAGGAGAGGGGGAAGGGGAATAATGGGGGAAAGAAGGGGAAGGGCTGTCAAGAAACATGTACAAAGGATCCATGGACTAAGCCAACAGGGGGTAGTGGGGAGGACTGAATGTGGGAGGTGGGGGTGGGTAAGGCAGAGGAAAAATGAATGGGGGAAAAATGGAGACAGCTATAATTGAACAACAATAAAAAAATTTTTAACAAGAAAAAAGTATGAATTTCTTTCCTCTCCTTTCCTCTTATTATGACACTACCACTTAGGTACAGTGTGCGAGCTGAGAAAACCCAATTTGACCTGCTTGAATGCATATTTTTCTTAGCTTTACTTACAACCTCTTCTGTTCTTTTTCTACTTCTTCCCCAGCTCTTCCTGCTTTTCAATGTATAACATCACTTTTTTTTTAATACAAAGGCCAGCATCTTTTCTGGGCTTTCCAGTTTTCTGCCAGACTGAAAACCATCCCCCAAGGAGACTGTCTATAAAACAATCACAACTATGACCTCCAGGGAAGGACGAAGGGGAAGGACATGCTTTGCAGTGAGAAACAACTTCTCTTCCCTTCTCTTCACCAGCTGGTTGGTGCTCTCCCCTTGGTTTTCAGGTACACAACACATTCACCCCCAACCTCCATGTCGCCTCCCTGCCCAGCACATCCTCACCTGGAAACGACCCACCCAGTCCCACAGCTGATCACACTGACCCTGGCTACTCTTGACCCATTTCTAAACTGCTACTTCTATTTCCCCTTCTGTAAAAATAAGTGGGTGAGTTTACTTTAAGATACACAAACTTTTCCTGTAAAGGACCAGATGCTAAATATCTTGGGCTTTGCAGGCTGACAACTCAACTCTGCATGAAGTCAGCCACAGAAGACCGTACATAAAAGGATGGGTATGGCTAGGCTGCAATAACACTTTATTAATGGACACACGAACACTTGAATTTCATATTTTTATGTACCACCCAACCTTTTGATTCCCCCAACCATATATTTGTTTATTGTTTTATTTTTAAAAATATTTTATTTATTTATTCTTAGAGAGATGGGAAGGGGGGGAGAGAAACATCGATGTGTAAGAGATACATCAACTGGTTGTCTCTTACATGCCCCTAACTGAGGACCTGACCTGCAACCCAGGCATGTGCCCTGACTGGGAATTGAACAAGCAACCCCTTGGTTTGCAGGCCAGCACTCAATCCACAGAGCCACACCAGCCAGGGCCACTCTCCCCCAATGCCCCACAGCCATTTAAAATGTAAAAACATTCTTGGCTCTTGAGTGATATGTTGAGCCACTTTTAAGGGTTCTCCCACCTTGTAGAAAAGTGATGCTGTGAATAATCAGAGAGGGTGGTGCCTGGGTTTGTCACATGAAAAGTTTATCTTTGTTTGCAGAAGAGTGTATCCAGAGAAGGTCACTCTGGGGATAGCTGTCAAGTGGTTGCAAATGTCAGATCTGGGATGGGATGACCCATCCTGGGAGAAGTTAAAGAAGACAGAGAAAGAGATTCTGCTCCCTTTTACTCATCCTTTCTATGACCCTGCCTTTCCCTCCAGACTGGACCCCCACCCCACAGCCCAGTGGGCCATCAGTGGAACCTGATTGCTGCATATTCCGAGCCGATGTTCCTGGACTCCTGGGTCTCCTGTGCCCTGAGGCCAGAGAAGTTGAGGGCAGCATAATGGATCTCCTCTTTGTGGTTCCCTGATTCTGGGGCTAGATGGGATGATTTGGGTCCTGGGGAGTTAGCATCTGCAGGAGGGGTCCTGGAAGGACTGCTGGGTTTGGCCCTTCGATTCCGAGCCTAAGGCAAAAACAACCATCATTCATTCATTCATTCATTCATTCATCCATTGTGTATTCAACAAATACTTGAGTGGTTACTGCGTGGCAGGCACTGATGGAGGAACTGGGGTTACATGAGGAAGTAAATCCTCTGTTTTTCTTAAAATCCTCACCCAAGGATATGTTTTTATTAGATTGATGAGAGAGAGAAAGAGAGGTAAATTGCCTGCCATACATGTCCTGACCGGGGATCAAACCCACCACCTAGGTGTGTGCCCTGACCAGGGATCAAACCTGCAGCTTTTGGTGTATGGGATGATGTTCCAACCAACTAAGCCAGCTGGCCAGGGCAGTCTGTATCTCTTTGCTGTGGCCACCCTAGCAGACTAGCACAGGTAGACAGGTGCCTGTACCCACCATCAAGATGCAGAACAGCTCTAATCCCAGAGACCTGGTCCTAACCTTGGGGCAGGTACTAATCTGTTCCCCAGCTCTACAACATTATCATTTGAAAAGAGCTATATACATGGAATTATGTGGGTGGGACCATTAGATTTGGGCTTTTTAAGAACATTTTTGTCCCTAAGCTTGATTTAACTGGTTGCAAGTATCAATCCTTTGTTCCTTCCTTTGGATTGTATTCAACAGGGTTGATGGATCTCTCTGGGTTTTAAATGGAGATGACGTACAGAGAAGTAGCTTGGGGGTGTGGGAAGCAGAGAAGATCCACAAAAGGTGGAGGTGTGCCCACCTTCTGCCTCTCAGTGACGTTGATAATGGTTACATCATTAATTAGTAATGTTCTTAGTCGTGGTAACAATGGCAGAGCTGCTACATATGGAGCAAGGGCATGTGTTTTGCTCCTCAAACCAACTCACAAAGAAAAGGGAAGAAGAAATGGAGGCTCAGAAGGAGCTAGTGATTTTGGTCAAGGTCTCATAGATACTAAGTGCCAAAGTCAGGATTTGGATCCATCAACCATGCTTTCACCACCTTGATGTCCCTCGGGCAAAGGGTGAGGCGTGGACGGGGCGAAAAAGGGGCGACACAACCCGGCTCACTCACCAGGTGACCCGGGTTAGGGACCACGTTGACGTAATCCAGGATGGTGCTCCTCCTCGTGACCCTGAGCCTGTGAGTCCCTGCTTTGGTGGGAGTCTCTGCCTGGGTCGGAGTCTCTGCCTGGGTCGGAGTCCCTGCCTGGGTCGGAGTCCCTGCCTGGGTCGGAGTCCCGGCCTGGGTCTGTTTCTTCCTCAGAATCTTCACGCTGAGGAAAGGACCCGCCTCAGTGGGCGCCCTGGCACCTCCCCTGTCCCCTGTCGCCTGTCCCCAGAACCCATCATTCCTGCCCCTAACTCACAAAACCAAGATGAGGCAGAGGACGAAGAGGGCAGTGACGCCAGTGCCCAAAAGTACTCCACTAGAGAATCTTTTTGAGATGAGTCCTTCCTCTTCTGCAGGAAGAAAGGAGTCTGAGCCTCTCTCATCAACGCGGGTCTCGCCGCCCCACGGCCCCCAGGCATTTGGGCCTCCTGCTCCCCTTCCAGACCTCTTACCAGCAATCCCTTTCAGTCTATCTCTTTAAAACCCTGCTGCACCCCGGGCCCAGGCTTTGTATTCTCCCCCCTGAACCCCCAGCCAGAAATGCAGGTGGCCCCCGGCCCCAGCTCCGGCTCCAACCACAGGTCCCCGCCCCTGCCCCACTCAGGCCCCGCCTCCAGGGGGCGTCAAGCAGGCCCCTGACCTGGCAGCAGCAGGACGCTGGAGCTCTGGGCCCCGTGGACATTCTCAGCCTCGCAGCTGAGCCTGAGGCCGGCGCTGAGCCCCGTGCGGAGGCTCAGAGAGCTGTTGGCCCAGGGCCCCGCGGAGCTGGAGGTGACCGTGTAAGAGTCGTTGCTGTGGTTCCCCTCCAGCAGCGCCTCCCCCAGCCTCCAGCGCAGCGAGGGGGCCGGCTCGGCTCGGGAGGAGCAGCTGCAGCGCAGACCCTCGTCCTCCCAGGAGCACGAGTGTCCGAGCAGCCGTGGGGGGTCTGTGGGGAGTGAAGAGAAGGGTCAGCGGTGCCTCTGCCCGCCCAGGACCCAGGTGCCCTGCCCCCAGGTGCCTCATCCCTCCACTCACAGCGCACAGAGAGATGCAGGGAGACTTGGAGGGAGCCCAGAGGGTTCGAAGCTTGGCAAATGAATTCGCCTTCATGCTCCATTTGTATCCGAGGCAGCTCCAGGACCCCAGGGTCTGAGGGCTGGGAAGGGCTCAGAAATTCCCAGCGCTGGGCCCAGCTCAGCCTGGCTGCGGGGTTGCTGTGGGCAACACAGAGCAAACGCAGGCTTTCGCCCTCCAGGATGGGGAGAGACGCGCCATTCCTGAGGTTTTGCAGGACTAGGAGACGGAAGAGGCAGGAGAAATGCAGAGCTCAGGACACAGGGACCCTGGCACATGCGCACATTCTGGACCCACAGGCCCCCAATTTGGTCCTGAGAAGACATGGTTGCTCTGTCCCCTCTCCTACCTGTCCCATCTGCTCGAGAGACCATCATTGTCAGGTTCTCAGGGGCATCTGAAAGAGACACACAGCACCAGCTGCAGAAGGCCAAGGGCCACACTCAGGGCAAAGGGTCCCTGGGGACCAGAGGGAGTGGCAGGCAGGGTAGGAGGACTGAATCACCACCGAGTGAGTGACCACAACACAAACCACCCTAGGAAATAGAAGAGCCCCTTCAGAATCGGTGAACACCTGGAGATTTGGGGAGAAAGGCACCTGGAGTGGCCATGACAGTTCCAGGCCCTTTCCCTGGACCTGGGCCTGGCCCTACGTATTGCTTCCATCTGGCTGTTCTGACTCATGTCCTTTCATAACAAACTGGTGGTCTGGTAAGTAAAATGTTCCCCTGAGTGCTGGGAGTTGCTCTGCCTAGCCGATTACTCAAACCTGAGGAGGATGTTGTGGGAACCGGCCATCTATCACTTCTGATCTAGAGTCACAAGCACAGGTGACACCCTGGACTTGCTATTGGTACCTAAAGGAAGTCTTGTGGGTCTGAGCCCTTCACCTGTGGGATCTGTGTCTCCAGGTACACAGGGTCAGAAGTGGGTGGAACTATACGACACTCAGCTGGAGTCAGAGAATTGCTTGGTGTTGGGAGGAAAATTATCTTCATCTTCATCAGAATCAGAATCATTATCCTGTAGGCCTGAGTGCTAGGCTGCTTTGAGTTCTGAGATCCTGCCCCCAGCTCCTGGCCCACACCCCCTCGCCTCCCAGAAACCAGCCCTGCTGGTCACACTCACACTGCACAGAGAGGTTCAGTGTGCGGCTTTGGAAGCCAAGCCTGTTTTCTCCTCGGCAAGTGTAGCGTCCTGCATCCTCAGGCTTCACCCTGGGCAATGCCAGCTGCAGGCGCCCGGAGCCTGAGAGGTGGGACCAAGAGAGGACTCTGTCCTCCAGGGCCCAGCTCAGGGTGGCAGGGGGACTGCTGTCTGCCTCACAGAGCAGCCTCAGGAACTGGCCTTTCTGGACTGTCAGAGATTGGCTGTCTCCCTGGAGCATCAGGGCTGCAGAGAGGAATGGAGAGAGAGCAGGAGATGGGAGCGGGGGAGAGAGAGAGAGAGAGAGAGAGAGGGAACATTTCCCCCACACTCCTGACATCTTCTCATCACCCAGAGGGAACTGGAAAGCCGAGTCTCACCCAAATGCAGGCCCTGGTACCTGATCTGTTGTCTTGGAAAATGCTGATCACCGGGACTTTGGGGGCATCTGCAACAAGATTGTGAGCCGGCATTGGGAGGAATGTTTGGTTTCCCACAGCCAGAGAGAACCCACCCTGGGAACAAAATATGACTATGCTCAGGGAAGAGACAAAGGAGTGACAAAGGATGATTGCAGAGGGAGGGCCAATGGCATCCAATATCCTTCCCATCTCGGGACCCTACTCCTTTCTCTCCGTGGACACCCTGCACACAGCAACCACAGCCACCACAGCCAGACACAACCCTACCTCTCCAGCTGCCCACGCTGATGTCCCCAACAAACTCACAGGCCACATTAAGCCGGACACTGTTTTCGAAGCTCACACCCTCTCTGGGGAAGTGCACTCGACAGGTGAGGCTGGCATCGTGGTCCTCAGAACTTGGTGTGAAGGCGAGCACTGAGATACGCGCAGTGGTCAGACTGATTTGGTGGGTGGAGAGGGCAGCCCCCATCCAGGAGAAAGTAGGGGCTTGGCATTGTTGAAAGTCCAAGTCAAACACACAGATGGCTGTCACCTGCTGCCCAGGCTCCAGGGTCTCTGGGACGTACACAGCTGGCTTCTGTGTCCTGGCTGGGATGAGAGAGGGCATGCTTGTAGCCCCAGATGGGGTTCCTCAGGGGGTGACCCATGGTCCACTCCCCACAGGCCCTCCCAGCATGAGAGACAGGGGTTGGCAAGGAAAGGGAGGTCCCCCCCATTTCAGCCAGATCCTTACCTGTCACATTCAGATAAAGTTTTTTATACATAAAATTATATCTCACGGATTTGCCTCTCTCAACCCGAAAGTGGTACGATTTGCTGTCTTCCCTCTGTGGATCTTTGATCAGCAAGGTGCAGCTATACTCCTGGGGATTGCCCACAAGGTAGAATCGGCCCTTGGCCCTTGGTTCCACCGCTCGAGACCAGTTGTTTGTGGCCACTGGAAGACCATGGAGCGTTTCTGTTCCTTCGATGAACCAGTAGCCGTGAGCTGGAGTGTCCTTATTCCAGCCATCAGGTGGGTAGGTGACATCACAGGGCACTAACACACACAGGCCCTGTGGCACTGTCACCACCTCCTGTACTGTCAGAGAGAATCCAAAATCCTGGTTCCAAAGACGGCCCTTCTGGCCATCGGCCCACTCACCACCCCACAGCACAGCGAAGATCAGCGTCAGGAGCATCTCTGCCCAGGCAACACTTGCAGCTGCCCAGGGACAGGCTCATTCCCTGACACTGTGACCGGCAGTGAGCAGAGGCAGAAGAGGAAGCCGGGGCAGGCAGGCAGGCAGGCGGGCGGAAGCTGAGCCTGGGGGACTGATGCATGAAATGAGCTCCTCATCTGAGACCACTGGAATCTCCCTTTACCCCCCATCCCACACCCCACCTCACCCACTTGGACTCTGCCTTTCCTGGGGGCCATGCCTGGCTTTGGGCTGGCTGAGCTGGTCCTTCCTGAGTCTCCTCTGCAGGAGGGAATGGAAGGCAGGTGTCTAGCCCTGGGGCCTGGCTGTGGCTGGACAGTGGCACTCTCCTTCTGGGCACTGGGTTATTGCAGAAGCAGAAGTGAAAGTTTGCAGTGAGCCCTTCTGACAGGGGCCCCTGGAGATGGAGGGGGTTGCAGTGGGCTTGAGTTTCTGGGTGTGCGGTGGGGAGCAGGGGTCTTCTTGCCAGACAAAGTGCAGGATGCCTAGGAAATTTCACTCTCAGATCCACAAGGAATCACTGTTTTAGTGTAAGTATATCCCAAATATTGTGTGGGACATACCTCTACTAAAATGATACACTGGTTTGTTTGTTTTTTTAAGACTTTATTTATCCATTTGTAGACAGAGGAGAGGGGTGGGAGAAAGAGACAGAGGGAAACTTCAATGTGTGGTTGCCTCTCAAGCATCCCCTACTGGGGACCTGGCCCACAACCCAGGCATGTGCCCAACAGGGAATCAAACCAGGACCCCTCGGTTCACAGTCCAGTGCTCAATCCACTGAGCCACACCAACCAGGGCCAATGCAGTGAGTATATCTGAAATTCTGAGTTATTTGGGGGCCTGGTGTTTTCATTTGCTAAGTCTGGCAACTGTAGGCTGGTCTCAGGGCCACACCATAGTCCTCTGTGGGGGGTTCCCGGAGCCTGGTCCCTGGGGGGGCACCCAAACCCAAGACCTGAGTCCACTTCCCACCTCCTCTCTTCTTCTGTCATACACTTGCATGAGCTTTGTGTGTGACACCTGTTGTGATAAGAACACCTGCACCCAGAGGTGGAGCTGGTGGCTGGAGTTGCAGGTGATATAAGGGGCAAGGCAGATGCGAAGTGAGTGGGATAAACGCCCTCACATATTGTGCCCCTAACCCAGCCTTTCTTCTGAAGATGACTCTGCTTGGTCATGTGCAGACACTGTGCTCTCCCACACAACCTCATGGCCCAGACCACATGCGTGGCAGGCGCTAAGCTGCATAAGGAGGACACACAGGTAAATACAACACAGTGTCTGACTTCAAGGGGATCCAGTTGGTGTCTGAAGATCCACAGAAACAGAGAAGTACCAAAGTGCTTGTAAATGTCACTCTGCACTCCCCTGCAAGCTGAGGAAATGTTCATGAGGCTCCTGGGGAAGTAGGGGTTACTTCTTCCTGGTGATGCCAGGACAGGTGTCCTGGAGCAGGTGAAACCTAACTGTCCCTGCCCTGGCATCATAATCACAGACTGGATCACTTAAATAACAGAAATTGATGTCCTTACAGTTCTGTGGGGAGTAGATGTTGCAGATCAAGGGGTCCCCATGGCTCCTTTCTTCTGAGGCCCCTCTCTCTCTCTCTAGCTTGTAGATGGCTGTCTTCTCCCTGTGCCCTGTCATGGCTGTCCCTTGTGTGTGTCTGTGTCCTAATAGTCTCTTCTCAGAAGGCCACCAGTCCTATGGCTCTGGGGCCACCCTCTGACTTTATTTTAACTGGATTACTTCCTGAATGGCCTATTCTCCAAAGAGTCACATTTCCAGGTACTGGACATTAAGACTTGAACACGTCAGTTGGATGTGGACAAATTCAGTTCAAAACATCCACTTTCCTCTTCACTCTGATCCCCAGTCCTCACTGCCCAACTGACTTTAGGGGGGAGAACCAGGTCCCTTCTCTCAGGGGTGCTCACAGAGGAGGGGTGTCTCCAGGGAGGAGCAGGGGGGAGGGAGGGATGCCTGGTTCTTCTGGGGAATGTCCTGAGGGAGCTGAGGACCAGGAGAATGGTAACCTCTCCATCCTCAGGTCGTTTCTCTAAACCACCACCCAATGCTGCTCCTTCAGCTTGAGAAGGGAGAAAAGCCCCTCAGCCACACCAGGTCTGAATGATGCCAATCTGCAGTTCCTCGGCTCCTCCAGGCTGACCCAAGGCCTCAGAACCCCACCTCAGCCTGTACACCACCCTTGGGCTATTTCTTCCTTGGAACCTCAGAGCTGACCCCTCAGGGGTGGGGCTGAGGAGGACTCCAGGGCCAAGTGGGGACAGCTTGGCAGCTCTGGATGCAGAGCTACATTATCAGGGGGAAATGGAAAGAAGGGGGGGTCTGAGTGACCCCCACTGTGGACTGACCCTTTCTCCTTCTGGAGGCAGCACTAAGAAGCTCCTAGAGCTGGTCCTGAGACCCTCAGCTTCTCTCCCCCTTTCCCAGCAACACTGTGGGTTCTCTTTTCCTCTCCTCACAGCAAAAGTCCTTCAAGAATCACACCTTCTTTATTGACCAGCCATCCTGCCAGGCCTCGTCCAGCTGTGTTCCATCTGGACATCACTCAAACTAGTCCTGCCAAGATCACCAAAGACCTCAAAAGGCTAAAACCCACAGTCCCATCTTGGTTGAAGTGGATGCCGCCCCCTCGGCAGCATGAGACTTGCACAGTCATCTGTTCCCTTCTGAAGCATGAAAGTCCAGCTTCCGTGTCACCTAGAGCTGCCACCTTAGTCAAGTTGGGGACCCCATGCTCAAGCTCTGTGTGAAGGTGCCTCTTCCTGTTTCAGTGCCACCCATGACTTCCTGCGCTGCCCCCAGGGGGCGCTCCACCCACAAACACAGACTGACCCCTGGGGAGCCCCAGGCACCAAGATAGGGGAAATCGCGGTCCTGGAGAAGAGCCCCTGCACAGGGAACCCACCCAGGTCCTGGACACGTTTGCAAATGTTGCTCTTCCCAAAGGGCTGCATTCGTTCTCGCTCCCTCCCCAGATGATGACTGTGCCCGGTTCACTGCACCTCTATCAACTGAGCTCTGCTGGGGGAGCATATAGAGCAAACACAGTCACCACCACCACCCCACTTGGGCCCCCTGCAGACCCACTTCCACCGATATAAAACACGTCAGCATCGTCTCGCTCTCACAGCCTCATTCTGAAATGACACGCACCCAGAAGCACTAACCACGTGACATGCACGTCGGAAAACGTGCCACTGTGGTATGGGAGTCCTGGCTAGTTGTTATCACAGAATACCATAGACCCAGCTGCTTAAAGAGGAAACATTCATTTACCTCAGTCCTGAGGGGTAGAAGTCCAAGATGAAGTCGCCAGCAGACTTTTGGCATCTGTGAAGGTCCACTTCCTGGGTGACAGATATGGTCTCCTCACCATGTCCTCACATGGTGGGGCAGGGACAGGGCATTCTGTGAGGTCTCTTTAATACGAGACCATTTTTGAGGGCTTCACCTTCATGACCTAATCTCCTCCTAAAGGTCCCAGATCATTAGGTTTTAACACATGGTTTTGTGGGAGGCACAGTCTGTGGTATGTGGGGGTGTTGTGGTCACATCTTTCCTCTGTTCAGATTGGGGTCATGTGATGGTCAGGACCTCTTAGCTGGGCCTTCACCCTTTTCTCTCAAATCAAGACAGCATTTTGTGAGGCAAAATCTGTGGTCAGATAACCCAGTTCACTCCAATTTGGAGCAAAGGAAAACATTTGCCATCTCAGTACTTTTATGATGAGTGATAATTGTTACTTAGTAGTGGGTGTCAACTCCCAGTGTGAAGGATTCTTTTTGCAAAAGCAAACACCAATTCTTTATGTCACAGCCTGAGGCTGCCTGGGCTCTGATCCCTGCTGACTTCTCCAGCCTCTTGTCCTTTTACTCCATTGTTTTCAAATCACCCTTTAAGGAAGACTGAGGCAGCCCCTGCTGGCACAGATAGACAGGTCCTGGTGTTCTGCTGCTGAACATAAACACCATCACAGGATGTCACGCCAGGCCAGGTGCCTGTGTGTGTGGTGGAACCAAACCACTCCAGTCATGTCTGAGTGCAGACACAGACAGAAACATCGTCTAAGCCACCCTGTGACCCAACGCCCTGATCTAGGGTACCGTGAATGACTACTTATTAACCACCTACAGCACCAGTTTCCTCTATGGGCTGTGGGTGGTGCCCTATCCACATCCCTATGTGAAGCTCTAACCCCAGTGCCATGGTATTTGGGGATTGGGCTTTTCAGAGGTGATCAGCTCAGGAGGTGGACTCCTCATGATGAAACTAGTGCCCTTATCGAAAGGCCTCAGGGAGCAGCCTTGCCCTCCTCAGTATAAGGACATATTGAGGACAGGTTGCCTATGACCCAGGACGTGTTCCCTTCTCAGACACCTAATCTGCCGGTGCCTTGATCTTGCACTTTTCAGCTTCAGCATTGTGAGTAAGCCCTGGCCAGGTGGCTCACCTGGTTGGGGTGTCATCCCATCCACCAAAAGGTTGGAGATTCGATGCCCATTCAGGGCACATATGTAAGTTGCTGTTTTAATCCCCTCTAGGAGAATTTATTGGAGGCAACTAAACAATGTTTCTCTCTCACATCGATATTTCTCTCTCTGTGTCTTTCCCTTATTCTCTCTCTCAAATCAATAGATGTATTTTATCTAACTTTAAAAAGAGCTGTGCCTAATGCATTTCTGTTGTCTGTAAGCCTCTCAGCCAGTAACACTTTGTTGTAGCAATGGACACAGATGAAGGCAGACACTCAGGGGACCAAAGACATCACTTAGTAAGACTGGCATTTATTTCTCTAACTGAAACCCTGATCAAGATATGGAGCATGTCTGTCACTCTAGAAGACACCACCCAGCCTGCCCTTCCATTCACTCCTAGCGCCATCAGCCCGTCATGCTTGAGTAACAGCCTGGGGCCCACGACCTGGGAGGCATCATGAAAGAGAGAGCCCTGAGAGTCTCTGCTGCTCTCACCTGGACTGTCCTTCTTCAGTGGGGGCTACCTGGCAGACCTGGCAAGGATGAGCAACGCTGGCAGCCTGCCCCTCCTGGGAAGATACCATCACCCTCAACTTGGGATGGGAGGGGGGAGCCCTGTGTTCTTGGCACCACCCACCAGGCCTGGAGCTGCCACAATGCTGAGCTGGAATGTGGATGGCAGGGTGCAGATGCTGCTTCCAATGGCAAAGAACTCGTTGTTCCTACCCAGGTTGTATCAATGTTCCTCTTTTTCTAAAGATTTCATTTATTTATTTTTAGACAAAGGGGAAGGGAGGGAGAAAAAAAGGGAGAGCAACATCAAATGTGGTGGCCTCTCGTGTGCCCACTACTGGGGACCTGGCCCACGACACAGGCATGTGCCCTGTCTGGGGATTAAACCGGCAACTTTTCAGTTTGCAGGCTGGCACTCAATCTACCTAGCCACACCTGCAAGGATGTCAATTTTCTTAAGCACATACTTTATTTTCTGATGTGTGCACTTAGAACAATTTCCAGAGATCAGAAATGGTGGTTTATAGAAAAACTTTTCATCACCTATGCTTGTTTGAGTGGACACTGAGCCCATGGATCACCTCCTATTAACATTTCAGAGTGGAACCAGCAGTATTATCCTGAAAGCCTCAATTGGAAATGCTCTGAATGTCCCTTAGCTGCCTAATGGATCAAAAAACAGTCGTGTGTATCCCTACAGGGGAATAATATGTAATCACTGAGAACAAAATGTCATTATTTTAAAGCAATACAATCAAGTTTATTAATTTTAAAAATTAATAAATTTATTGTGCACAAAATCCAACATGGTTGAACCTCTAAGACACAATTTTTCCTGAAAGTATCAGACAAAGAGATTTGATTGGATTGTGCGTATATGAAATGCTGATTAAAAAAGATCATTAGGGATTCAAAGCAGACAATGACTTTTTAAAAGATGGGAAGGAGTAGGTATTAATCATAAATCAGCTGAAAGTTCCTTCTAGCTAATCAAATGTGTGACCGTGGTGGCAGAACTCTATAAATTTACTAAAAACATCATCGAACTGTTTACTTACAGTGAATTAACACTATGTTGTATAACTTTTCCCACAATCACTATTTTTTAAAAGCTTTTGCTGGGGACTTCTACTTTTGAGCATGGGAGGCTAACAGGGTTCAGAATTATTCTTTCGTAAACAATGGCTACAATGAGCAAAATACAAGAATGTATATTTTTATACAAGAGACAGAGACAGGGAGTATCCATGATCCTTGAGAGAAGACCAAATGCATACAGAGGCTTCTAATCACCTAGGTTTTCTGCTAGTGCATTGTTTGCAAAGGCACACACCAAAAAAAAAAGCCTCTAAAATTTTACTGAGCTGAGGAGTCATACATTGGACTTTAAAAAGACTGTCACAGCTAAAGCGTGCACATCCAAGTTTTAGACAGGAAACAGCATTGCAGAGAAAGGGTCCAAGGTTACATTGTTGGCAAAATACCACTCGGCATGTGCAAACGCTATGAGGGCCCACAAGAACAAGTTCTAAGGAGAGAACAATTACCAGACAGCTGTGAGATGAGAAATTCCTGGAGATCACACAGGGCTTGGTCTTGTGCATAATCCTTCCAGACAGAGGGAAGATACTGCCTTTAATATGTGGGCATTTAGTGTTGGCTGGTGTGGTCAGTGGATTGAGTGCCAGCCTGCAAACCAAAGGGTCACCAGTTCGATTCTCCATCAGGGCACATGCCTAGGTTGTGGGCCAGAGCCCCAGTTGGGGGTGTGTGGGAGACAGCCACACATCAATGTTTCTCCTAATCCCTCTCCCTCCCTTCCTTTCTCTCTAAAAATAAATACATAAAATCTTTAGAATATATATATATATGTGGACATTTAGTCACTCTTCAAAAGGGCCATTGCACACAATTGAAAGAATATTAATTCTAAAAAAAAGACTATACTAGACCTATCTTAGCAAACAGGCTAATAATGAAAGACCCTTAAAACTATTGGCTCAACATGAAAGTCACTTGACTGCCTCCCAGAGAAAGGACCAATGTTCTTCAAAGAAATGCAACAAGACCAAGCAGTCAGCCACAAGAAACTGACATTACCACCACTCAGTGAAAAATTACAAGACACATAAAAAGAAGTATGAACTTACAGCACTTCACAGGAGAAAGGCATTCAGTGAATCATGCTCAGACATGAGAAAGGAGACTGACCTGGCAGACGAAGACATTACAGACTTGTTGCCAATATGTCCCATATATTCAAGGATATAAAGCAAGACACTCACACAATAAGAGAAGAAATAATAAGATTAAAAACTGAAAAAGTGCAACTTCTAGGGAAGATACATGACCTGAAATGCAAATGTCACTGGATGAGAATAACAGCAGACTCAAATTGGTAGAATAATCAATACACTTAAAGACACAGCAGTAGCTTTGGTTCTCACTGAAGAATACAGAGAAACAAAGGCTGAAGATGCTCAAGGTCCTTTGAGATAACATCAGGAACTATACATGTGTAATACTTGGGACCCAGAGAAGAAGAGAGAGAAAGAATAAACACATACATACTTATTAAATAAGTATCAGCTTCCATTTTTTGTTTTTTTAAATATCAATGTGTGGTTGCCTCTCACATGCCCCCACTGGGGACCTGGCCCACAACCCAGGCACATGCCCTGACTGGGAATTAAACCAGAAACCCTTTAGTGAACAGGCCAGCACTCAATCCACTGAGCCACACCAACTAAGGCTAGCTTCTGTTTTTACAAATATAATCACAGCTAAAATTGACAGATTCAAGATACTAAACAAACTCTCACCAGGATAACATCTGTCTGTCCCTCTCTTCATCACAAGCACACATGCTGAGAACCCACATAGGCAATTGATAATCACATCATTTAAACCCAGTAAATACTGGAAAACATTAAAACCACCCAGAGCAAGACATATTACAAAGAAAAAAAGATAAAAATGACAGCAGAATTCTCATTAAAAATACTATGAAAGGCAAAAGAAGGTGAAGAACTGAAAGAACAAAACGTTTTCCCAGCGCTCCTCTTTCAAGGAAATTAGGGATGGAGGTGCAGTGTGGGTGGGAAAATGGACACAACTGTACTGGAACAAGAATTTTTTTAAAAGTTAAAAAAATGGAGGCAACTGTACTTGAACATCAATTAGGAAGGAAGGAAGGAAGGAAGGAAGGAAGAAAGAAAGAAAGAAAGAAAGAAAGAAAGAAAGAAAGAAAGAAAGAAAGAAAGAAAGAAAGAAAGATAGAAAGGGAAAGAAAGAAAGAAAGAAAGAAAGAAATCTTCCCAAAGCTCATGGAAACATTTTCAGGCAAAGACTGGCTGGGAGAATTTACCCCCATCATGCCTGCATTAGTACAAGAACTATACAAAAAGATCTTCACATTTGAGGTAAACAAAAAGGAAGTGAAAATGGAGGAAGATGGTCAAAAGACAGAGGCTTCCAGTTGGGACATAAGTAAGAACTAGGGGCGCAACATACAACGTGATAACAACAGCTGACCCTGCCCCACAGCACAGAGGGAACTTGTTAGGAAAGTCAGTGCTGAGTTCTCGTTACAGAGAGAAATAGTTTATCCTTTGTGCCCACTTAGTTTTTATTGCATCTGTATGAGAAGGTAGATGTTACCTGGACCTACTGTGCTAACCCCACCACAATGTAGGTAAGTAAAATCACCATGCTATGTGACTTACATGTATACACTGATATTTCTATTTTCAAGAAAACTAGAAAAAAAGGAAACTAATACTATAGAGAAACCTGAATGCCCACAAAGAGATAAGGAGCACTTGAACAGGTTAATATATGGATAAATATAACAGAAGTGCTTTTTCTAATTGAAAATCACTGTAAACCTGCTTAAAAAGGATACATTCTGGGATTTAGAACAATATGTTATGGGATTGAATGATGGGCTAATCAGAACCACATTAAGGTAAGCACACAGAAGCAAAATATTACATAAAGTATGTATTTTACTAAGAAATTCAAATTAATACTGACATCTTTATCCAGCTCCCACTGGCCCTCCATCCACTGAAATGGAGCTACCAGAAAGAGTCCAGGGAACCAGAGGTGAAGGGTGATTTCTGAATGGGACACAATGGTGAGATCGATCCTTCCCCACCGGCTAAGGCTCTGGAGCCCAGACCCCCACACCACCTCCAGAACAGGGCTCAGGCTCCCCTTGCAGCTTCTTCCACTAGGGAGCCTTTAAACCTGTGGGGAAACAAGTTCTGAAATGACACACCAGTTCTGTGGAGGCTTTTCTCTGGGGAGAACAAAATATGGGAAGCCATCACAGCATCTTCATATCCAGAATTCCTTCAGAAACTCACTCACTTGGTGTAGTGGAGCCAGGTGAGGCCATAGGTGAGAAGGAAGCCAGCTCCCATGACAGCCCCTCTGATCTGGGTGATGACCAGGGGCCAGGAGCCCTGCTGCTCCCCACAGACTTGGTGGGAGGTACCAGAAACACCTGGAAGAGGAAGAGAGAGAGAGGTGTGAGTTTCCTTAAGTCCACACCTCAGTCCTGATTAATGTCCTGCCACTGCCCCCTCAGATCACAGGGGTCCTGCTAGTAGTAACCCTGCACAACTAGGTAGAGGGAGGCATGGTAGATTTGTGGGTGCTGAGCTTGGCAGGTGAACTCCCCTGCATCTGCCATGACCACGTGAGGCAGCTCCAGGACCCCCAGGTCTGAGGGCTTGGAGGAACTCTGAGTCAGGCTTCCCCGGGACCAGCTTGGCCTCCCTGGTACATTGCCATCTGCCTCACAGACCAAGCGCAGGGACTGGCCCTCCTGGACTTGCAGGGAGGTGGCATTGCCCAGGACCTCTGGGACCAAGGAGACACAGAGAGACAGAGGGTAGGGCTGAGAGCTGCTCTCTCCTCTGTCCACCCCCAGACACAGAAATGCGAAACTGCATCTCTGAGACAAGCACAGCTAGTAAGGGCCAGTGGGGGTGAAGCTGCATGAGGTGAGCAGTGGGCAGGAGAGGCCAGCTGTTGCTCCCAGAACTGGGAGTGGGCATTTGAGGAAGAGCTGGTCACGTGTACACCTGGGAAGGCACCCTTGGGAGGTAGACTTTGATGTGAGAAGCTGTGCAGAGGTGCTGATGCATGTAGGACTGACCATTGGAGGCTCACACACACACACACACACACACACACACGTGAAGCTCTCAGCCTCTCCCCTGAGAAAGGAGGGAGCAAGGTGAGTTTGAACAGAAGAGGAATAGGGTCACATGTGGGGTATGTAGAGATGATCTGGGGGCCCAAATTGTGGCAGCCAGAAGGAGGAGAACCTGGAGGCTGCAGGCCACAGAGGAAGCTGGCCCAAGTCCAGATCTCTGTCATGTCCGGGTAAGAGAGAGGACAGAGGCCCAAAGTGAGGCTGGGTGGCTGTGGGGATTGAGGAAGTTTGAAATCTGAGACCTTGGCAGGATGTCAAGTTTGCTGAACTCAGTGAGTCCTGGGGAGTGTTGGGCAAACACAGGGAAGCCTGAAGTGACTTTCCAGACATTGAGTCAGGTTCCTCAGAAAGGAAGAGCCCTCCTCGGGGGTGCGGAGGGCCCTCGGGATGTTTTGGACAGCACAGAGCTTTGTGAGGATCTTCAGGGAAGGGGTAGAACAGAAGCACTGGGGTCAATGACTCTCCCGAAGGGTCAGGCAGAAAGGGGCTGGTAACCGGGCACACAGCTGCAGACTCATCTCCTTGGAGGAGAGGGAGAAGGCACAGCCAGGGAAAGGCAAGGAGTCAGGAAGAGGACATCATGGGAAAGTGCTGGAGAGAAGAGGTCAGGGGTGAGGGAGCAACCAGAGGTGACACTGAAAGGTCAACTTGAAATTCACAGGAAACCTAGAGAGACCTGGCAGGGAACAGGTGGGGGACAGGGCAGAGGGGGACTAGAGTGGAGAAGGGTGAAGGGGCTTTATTCTGCCCAATGTCAGATCATGTACCTCCTGTGCCCTCTGACCTCAGTTCCACCCCGGGTCTCTCGCACCTGTGCTATTTTCCTGGAACATGCGTTTGGTCAGAGTCCATGGAGTATCTGGAGGAGAATAAAGTAATTGGCCACATGCAGTATGATGGGCTTGTCAGGAGCAAGGTGTTGGGTCTGGGTGTTCTCTCCATCCTCACCCCAGCCATGGCTCCAACAACAGTCCCCAAGTATCTTCCACCCACGCCCTACACCCCCGACTCCCTCCACCCTCAGGGACCCAGTGTCCTGACTGGGTACTCACAGGTCATGTTGAGCTTGATGGTGTTCTCAATCTTACCACCCCCCAAGGCCACCTGACAGGTGAGGTTGGTGCCATGGTGCTGGGGCCCTGGTGTGAGGGTGACCACTGAGTAGTTGGAAGTGCTGGTACCCAGGGGAGTGCAGTTGGCCCCCATCCAGGAGAAGATGGGTGTCCCTCTGTCACAGGTCCATGACAATGCACAGGTAATGTTTTTGGGTTGGCCAGATTTGAGGGTTCCCTGGATGTGGATGTCAGGCACCAGATCTGGGGAAGAAAGAGACAGAGACCCAGGCCCTGGATGTGGGATCCCCAAGTGTGCCCCTAACTGCAGCCTCTGTGCCAGGCCAGCCCTAGGGGCCCCCTGAGTCATTCCCAGGATGAGGAGAATCAGGTTCCTTCCCAGCCCAGGAGCCCTCAGGACCCAGCCATGTGTCTTCACCTTGTCCCTGTTTCTTATCTGTCACATGAACAGAGATCTGGTTATGTGTGTAATCATGTTTCAGATAGGGCCCTCGCTCTACTCTGAAAACGTATGTCCCAGTGTCCCCTCTCTGTGTGTCTCTGATGAGCAGGGAGCAGTCGCCGGTCTGAGGATTCCTGATGAGGTGGAATCGGCCTTGGGTCTCCTGTTGTGCACTATGATTGGGGTTGTTTGTGGCCACAGGAGGATCCCGGTCTGTGTTGGCTCCTTCCCGGAACCAGTAGCCGTAAGCTGGGGTAGACTTGATCCAGCCATCCTGGGGGTAGGAGAAGGTGCAGGGCACAGAGACACACAGGGCCTCCTGCACCGTCACAGACTTCTGCACAGACAGCAGGAATCCTGGACTCTCAGCCACAGACCCTGCAGAGAAAGGAGGGTCAGCCACAGACTCCACACCAGCCCACACACTCTCCCCTAGGGTACTCACCTGCCCACAGCAGGGCCAGGAACCGCAGCAGCAGCAGCAGCAGCATCTCTGGAGGTTTTTCTGGGTTCCTGTAGGTAAAAGGAGAGGGAAGGAAGTGGGAACAGAACTGTGCGGAGTGAGCCCCATAGAAGCTGAGGAGCGCTGGGCCTCCCCCTGTTCACAGAAGAGGAACTTCAGATATGGAGCTTGTCCCCTCTCTGCACAGAGCTGGCAGATGCCCACAGGCCAGAGACCATGGAGACCTCCCAGAGAAGAGAAGCCAGGGAGAATATCCAAGGTCCTGCCCCATCTTGGGGGGTTCCCCTGCAGCACTGGAGCAGGACCAGGACCTTGAGGATCTGAGGATGGGACACCTGATCTCCTAAGATCCTCCCATCCAAGGGGCTTTTCTGAGCTCTGGTGTGTACACCAGGGAGCTGCATGGACCTGGAATTCACAGTCTCATCCAGACTCTCAGGTAGTCGGTCCTGCAAGGTGGAGGATTCATGTGTGTGTGAGCATCTAAGGCAGAAGAAACAAGGGGTCCTGGTGCAGTGAAGGCAGCACCCATCCACCATCCATCCATCCATCATCCATACATACATCCATCCATCCACCAAACGCTCAGTGAGCATCTAAGTGGAAGCCAGCTGGAGACAGGAAGGGATACATGTACCTGGTCATGCATGTGACATGCTCCACACCCAGTGGCATCATTTGTCCCCAAACACAGTACTGTCAGGCTTCAAAGCTGCAGTCCTGGTTGAGTTTAACATGTTTCCACATGGCATGCTGCATATTTCCTATAAATATGAGTGTGCATTTTCCTTTCTGTAATCCAGTTAAAAAGAACTCTTTTCAAGTTGCAAAATTGAAAATGCTACACCCATTGAACAACTACTCCCCATTGTCCTTGTCACAATGATGGAGACTTTCCCCCAGACAGGCATCGCAGGGTCTGGGGGAGGAGCTGTCACCTACTGCAGGGTCCTGGGAGCCCAGGGAGGTCCCTCTGTTCACAAAGTTGCTCCTGGTCCTCCCAGTCCCTCCCCTTGACTTTCACTTCCCCTGTGCAAAAAGGGCTTCCTGCTTCTTCTTCTGCACCTGTCTGTGTCTGTTGTTCATCCTGGTTGCAGGTACTGCAGCATAATTCTTTTTTATTTTGAAATATATTATTTTAAGTTATATTTTATTATTTATGTTATTACAGTTGTCCCACTTTTCTGCTTGTCCCCTCCACACAACCCATCCACTCTGACTCCCTCAGGCAATCCCTACATCACTGTCCATGTCTGTGGGTCATGCATATATGTTTTTTGGCTGCTCTGTTCTGTATGCTGTACTTTACATCCTCATATTCTATAACTACCAATTTGTACATCTTAATCCCCTCACTTTTTTCTCCCATCCTCCCAACCTCCCTGCCACCACCCCCCACAATCTGTCAACCATCAAAACGTTCTCTGTATTTATGATTTGGTATCTGTTCTTGTTTGTTTATTTTATTTTTTATATCAATTGTCAATAAATATGTATTTATTGGCATTTTATTGTTCATATTTTGGTTCTTCTTAACATTTCATATAATATTAATGTGGTGATGATGAGCTTTTTAAGCTTTTGCTTGTGCGGGAAGCTCTTTATCTGTCCTTTGATTCTAAAAGATAGCATTGCTGGGTAGAGTAATCTTGGTTGTAGATCATTGCTTTTCATCATGTTGAATATTTCTTGCCAATTCCTTCTAACCTTCAAAGTTTCTTTTGAAAAATAAGCTGACAGTCTTATGGGAGCTCCCTTGTAGGTAACTATTTTTCTCTTGATGCTTTTAAGGTTACCTGTTTGTCTTTGACCTTCGGCATTTTAATTATGATGTGTCTTGGTGTGGGTTTTTTGGGGTTCATTTGTTTGGTACTCTGTACTTTCTGGACTTCTATGTCTATTTCCTTCATCAACTTAAGGAAGTTTTCTGTCATTATTTTTCAAATAGGCTTCCAATTTCTTACTCTCTCTCTTCTCTTTCTGGCACCTTCATGGTGCAAACATTTGTATGCTTGATTTTCTCAGAGATTCTTTAAACTATCCTCATATTTTTGGATTATTTTTTTCTTCTTCTCATTCTGATTTTTTTTTTTTTGCTTTCTGTATCCCAATAGATGATTTGATTCTTGGCTTCATCCACTCAACTGTTGATACCCTATAAATGGGTCTGTATTTCAATTAATGTATCCTTTGTTTCTGATTGGATCTTTTTTATGCTGTTGAGGTTCTCACTAAGTTCACTGAGCATACTTATAGCCCGTGTTTTGAACTGCATCTAGTAGATTGCTTATCTCCATTTTGTTTAGTTCTTCTGGAGTTTTGTCCAGTTCTTTCATTTGGACCATATTTCTTTGTCTCCTAATTTTGGCAGCCTCCCTATGTTTGTTTCTATGTAGTAGGTAGAGCTAGGTCTCCCAGGATTGACAGAGTGGCCTAATGTCATAGGTGTCCTGTAGGATCCAGTGGCACAACCTCCCCTATTACCCAAGCTGGGGACCCAAGGTGTGCGGACTATGTGAGCTGTGTACACCCTCTTTGTGTAGTTGAACCTTGATTACTGTTGGCACATGCAAGGTCAGCCACTGCTTGTGTTCTGTCCAGGGTTACTCAGCATAAGCTACAAAGCAATCTGCAGATGGCTGCTACTAGTGCTGGGCTTGGAGGTGCCCAGAAGAGTTTCAGCTGTGAATCAAGGCCAGCTACTGCTAATGCCAGTCCTGGGGCAACTTAGGGAGAGGTATGGTACTTACTGAAGCCAGATGCTGCTTGTTTTAGAGAATTTAGAAAAATCTGAAGCATGGGCCAAGACAAACCATTCATATGGAAAAGCCACTCAAAACAACTTCAGTGGGCCCAAAAACTAAGTGGAGCAGGTCCTCAGGGAATCACCAAGGTGGGGCAAACAGTGAAAGCTGGGTAGGTGAATCTCAGATATGACACCTGCCTGCTGGCTCTGTGGTTTTGTAGAGGGGAAGGCTCAGAAAAGGAACAATGGCCCCTGCCATTACTTCTCTCTGGGAGAAAGCTGATGCCAGACTATTCAGTTCCTCCACATATATCTCTGATGCATTTCAATCTGTAGTCCTCATGCTTAAGCTCAGAGGAAGTGAGTCTGAGTAAGCCTGTGTATGGGCCCTGTAAGACTCCAGGGACTCCAGGAGTTTCTTTCTTCCAAAGCCTCACTCTCCACTGATTTTTACAGCTGGAAGTTATGGGGACTTATGCTCCTGGCATGGGAACCCTGAGCTGGGAAGTGTAATATGGAGCTAGGACCCCTCACTCCTGAGATATCCTTCCCAATTTTTATCCACTACACATGCCTTGGGGTCCAGCCTGTTCTGAGTCTATGCCCCTCTTACCAGTACTGATGTGATTTAATTCTGTAATTCTGTAGTTGAAGGACTTCCATTTGGCTCAACTTCTGATAGTTCTGAACAATGGTTGTCCTACAGTTTAGTTGTTATTTTGATGTGGTTGTGCAGGGAAGCAAGCCCCATTTACCTACGCTCCCATCTTGGCCCCCCAAAATTCTTTTTGGTGACTGAATACCTGGTCAAGATTTGTTTATAGTCAACTCTCCACCTGCCAACCACTGGCAACTATGATTCTATATTCTGTCTCTAGAAATTTGACCCTATAAGAAACCTCATATAAGTGGAAGCATATTACTTTTCCTCTGATATGATGTGTTTATTTCACTGACCACATGTCCTCAAGATGCATCCAGGTGATAGCAGGTGACAGAAACCCTTTAATTTTTAATGCTGAATAATGTTCTATGGTTGTATACTTTACATTATGTTTACCCACTCATCTGCTGAGGGATGCTTGCTACATTTCATCCATTGTGAATAATGCTGCTCTGGACATGAGTGTGCATATCTCTTTTAGGGTCTTTCTTTTCAATTTGTAGGACATATACCCATAAGTGGAATTGCTGGATTGTACATTGATTCTATTTTCCATTTTTTGAGGAACCTCCATACTTGTAGCTACCCCATCCCCCATTTTCCCTCATCATCCAGTGGATATACACATTAACATCTGCAGTCTACGCCCATCTCCTGATCTCTAGACCTTCATCTCCACCTCTCTCCCTGATGGCCTTCGTTTAATATCAGGTGACTGCTCAGAATGCATGTCACCCTCAAAAGCCTGTCCTCTGAGTCCTGCATGCAACACCACTCCCTCCACCCAGGTGCTCCAGGAGAATACTTTAGCACCACCCTTGCCCCTCTCTTTCCTCACTATCCCCATACATTAGAAAATTCAGTGAACTTGACCTTCAAATTATATCCTCTTTCCTGCACTGGGACTCTGGTCCCAGAGCCATCACTTCCTGCCTGGAGCAGCCAGTCCTGCTGTGCTGCTGCTCCTTTGTGCTGCCCGGGGCTCACTTCAGATGACTGTGGACAGAGCAGCCATTGGGATCATGGTAAAACAGGGCCTACTTTCATGTCGACTCTCCTCAAGGCTCCAGAATCTTCCATAGGGTCTGCAGCACCTTCCCCACTGCACCCACACCCATGCCTCTCTGGGCTGTCACACTGGCCCCTTGTTTCCACAACACCAACCCTACTTCTGCCTCAGGGCCACTGCACTTAGTGTTCTTCCTTTTTTCCCCCTCTTCTTGGGAACTTTTCTCTTAAACACACAACCTACTTCCTCCTTGCCCCTACTCTTTATTCAGACATCACCTCTGTACATACTGAAAAAAAAAAACAAAAAACTCAACCTCTTATGTCACATGGTAATTTCTCTATGCAATTCTCTGTCAAACATCCATCAATATGTGACATGCTCTTATTTTATTTATTGTTACTTATTTTCACTCTTGTCTCCATAATGACAGCACTCTCAAGAGCTAAGAGCTTCTCAGTCTCTTTTTTTTATTGTGGTAAAAATATCCAAAAAATAAAACATTCCAGTTTTAAAATTTTATAAGATATAATTCAGTGACACTAGTTACATTCAAAATGTTGTGCAACCATCACCACTGTCTATTTCCAGGATTTGTACAGTTACACAATAACCTCCATTCCCTGCACCCTCGATCTGAGCAACTACCAATCTCAATGAATTTGCCTACTTCAGCTCATATGAGCAGGTCATATATTTGTCCTTCTGACTCTGGCTTCTTTCATTTATTATGTTGTTTTCAAGGGTTCATTCATGTTGGAGCAGGTGTCAAAATTTATTTGGTCCTCCTTAAGGCTGAAGGATGTTACATTGTATGTATATACCTCCTTTGGTTCATCCGTTCTTCTGAGGATGGACCCTACAGTGGGTTCCACAGCTACTTTGAATAACACAGACATGAACTATGAAGTAGAAGAACTTGCACCAATTTTGCTCATACAAGCAATGAGCAAAGGTTCCAGTTAGTCTCCATCTTGGCCAAAACTAACTTCCCATTCTTTGAAATATAGAACATAGGTCCTAATGCCTGTGCAATGATATTTAATTGTTGATTTCAGTGGCACTTCTCTGATAACTAATGTTGGTGACCTTTTTTTTTTTTCATGTGTTTGTTGCTCATTTTTATACCTTGCTTGCAGGAGTTTCTTTTCATGTTGTTTCGATGGTGGATATTCTTGAAGTTGTGTTTCCCAATGCATCTCTGGGATCTACAACAATGCTAGTACATACTAGGTGTTCAGTGATGCTTCCTAAATGTGTCTTGAATAAATGAGTGAATGCCACTCTGCTCATAAATGTACAATGAAACACACAGTGGCATGACTCACAGTGAGGGAGAATCAGGACTTGAAAAAGTAGGAATGGGGAAGGAAGAGCATTTCAGCCCAAGAAACTGCACATGCAAAGTCTCAGAGTCACCAAGGCCCTGGTCCAGCTGGGTGTGGACATGGTGTGACATTCACAGACATGGTAGAATCTTGTGCAGCATTCAGCTGGGGATGGACCATGCCAAGTCTTCAGATCCAGCCTGTGTATTTCCACCTGGGTCTCTGGTCATGGAGAGGAGCCATCAGTGTTTGTACTTTGCTGGTAGTGGACAGTCTCTGGAACCACAGTCTGGAGGTCTGTGTGGAGGGCAGAGATAGAAGTGAGAAACTGATGCATTCAGAAACCCAGAGAGAGATCAGACCACAGGCATAACCAGGGTCGGACAGGGAGGAGACAGAAATCAAGGTCAGCTCTGATTAGGCCCAAAAAAGGAACAAGACTTAGTGACATATTGGATCAGGGAGAAGAGAGGGAGGGCAAAGTGGAGAACCACACTTCACTTCTGGCCTTAGAGAAGGGGGCCACCGTGTCATCACTGTGAGAGGGAACCCAGCAAAGAAATGAGTTTGGGAGAAAGGTGACAGCTCAATTTTAGCAAAGCTGAGTGGAGCCATCTGGGGGAGCAAACAGGGGAAGGTGTCCATTGGATGTTGGCAGGCGGAAGTCTGCCTCACTCACCTGTGGGGCCAGCCTAGGATGATATTCTCATCCTCCACATTTTCTACAGTCTGGGACGACTTCCTCATGCAGATCCTCACTCTGAGGAAATAGACTGTGGTCTTTAGGCTGATGAGACCAGGGTGTAATGGGCAGCAGACCCTGTCCCTTGTAAGGAGCTAAAAGGGACACTGAGGCAGCAGATGTCTGGTCTGGTCCCATGGACCATGCTGAGCACAGCAGGTACCTCTCATCCTGGATGTTTGCTGGGCACTGATGACAGCTGCCCATGAGGAATCTTCACCCACCAACCCATCAGCCCCCTGGTTGTTCCATCCCATGAGCCATTCATACCCCATTACTGGTTCTAGACTCAGTCATATGCCCCCTGTCTTCCCCTTGTCCCCCTTTCCCCCTGGGGCTGAGCTCACATGAGGATGATGAGGCAGAGGAGAAGGACCAGGGTCTTGACAGCTGCTTCTGTGATGGCCACGAGTACCACCCCTGCCCTGAGTCCTAAGAGATGATAGATGTGAAATGATACACATTCAAATAGACCCCTAAGCACTGTAAAATCCCACTGACCTCCAAGGAAAGGGTGGTGGCACACTGAAGAAACTTAGTGCACCTCATATTACATAGAAACATCTAATTCCTCTAACTTGAAAAGTGTTTCCAAGGATGAATGACAACATTCAAGGCACAGAGTAGAAGACTGAGCAAAGAATAGGGACAGAGAACTCACAGAATCAAAGACATACAAATGACTCTCCATCATAAAACTATATTCAACACCATTTATAACAGAAGAAATGCTAAATAAAACTTCACAAAGCGCCCTGGCTGGAGTGGCTCAGTGGATTGAGCACTAACCTGTAAACCAAAGGGTCTCTGGTTTGATTCCCAGTCAGGCCACATGTCTGGGTTGCAGGCCAGGTCCCCAGTAGGGGGCATGTGAGAGGCAACCACACATTGATGTTTCTCTTTCTCCCTCCCTTCCACTCTCTCTAAGAGAAATAAATAAAATCTTCTTAAAAACCTCACAGAGAATCCTGTTCTCACCTGATATTATGAATGCTGTGTTATGTCCTAGTTTGGTGAAATGGTCCACACTTGATGACATACAATTTGACAAGTTTTCAAAAATGGAGAATGTGAAGAAAAGAGAATCCTTGTGCACTGTTGCTGTGAGTGTAAATTAATGCATCCACTATGCATAACTGTATGGGGGGTCCTCAAAAAAAAACAAAACAAATAGGAAGCACTGTCATATGATCCAGCAATCCTACTCTCTGGTATTTATCTGAAAAAAATGAAACCACCAACTAGAAAAAGTATCTGCATCCCCATGTTCATTGCAGCATTATTTACAATAGTAGAAATTTCCAGAAATCACACAATACTTGGTTCTTGGCACAGTGTCTCTAGACAGAGCAGAGAGACCGACTTGAATATATGGTGCATTCAGGCAAACATTGAAATGGCCCATGGCATTGGAGTGAATGCCCTAGAATAAGGGCTACACTCAGTCTACCATAGGAGACAGATTACAAATTAGAGCCTTTAAAATACTGGCCCAAAATGCAAGTAATGTTACTGCCTTCAAGAAAAAGACCAATGTTCTTTAAAGAAATACAACAAACCAAGCAGTCAGTCCCATAAAATGGACACATCTGCCACTCAGAGAAAAGTTACTAGGCATATGAAGAAATATGAATGTGCAACACTTCATAAGAGAAAAACCATTCATGAAATCACTCTCAGACATGACTGAGGAGATGGATTTACCAAACAAAGACATAAAGAGATTTTTTATAATATGTTTCATATACTCGAAAATGTAAAAAAGAGCCCTGGTTCGTGTGGCTCAGTCAATTGAGTGCTGGCCTGTGAACCAAAGGATTGCCGGTTCGATTCCCAGCCAGGGAACATGCTTGGGTTACTGGCCAGGCCCCCAGTAGGGGGCACACAAGAGGCAATCATACATTGATGTTTCTCTCCCCTTTTTCCCCCTCACTCCCCTCTCTCTAAAAGTAAATAAATCTTTAAAAAAAAGAGCATTACCATAAAAAAAGAAGAAAAGTAAGATAACAAGCTAAAGACCCTTAACATCCAGAAGAGAAAACACATGATCTGAAACTCAAATGTCACTGAATGAGATTAACAGCAGGTTCAACTTGGTGAATAGTCAATAATCTTGTACATGTAACCATAGCTCCTGTTATAACTGACAAATACAGAGAATAGGAGCCAAACAAAGGTTCACAGATGCTCCCTGACTTATGGGATAATATCAGGCAATGTAATTTGAGTAAAATTGCAGACCCAGAGAACAAAGAGGAAGAATAAAATATACATATATAATTAGCTTCAATATTTTCAAATTTGATTAAACCTATAAATCCAAATCCAAAGCACTCAATGAATTCCCAATAGGATTAAATCTCTCATTCAGTCTCTCTCTCTCTCTCTCTCTCTCTCTCTCTCTCTCTCTCACACACACACACACACACACACACACACTCACACACTTACACTCCACATCAAGGCAGGTACTAATCTAATCATTTAGCCCAGTTAAAGAAATATGAAAACCTGCCAGAGAAAGAGACAAACTTCAAGTAAGGAAAGAAATAAAAGTTACAGCAGAATTCTCATAAGAAACTATGAAAGCCAAAAGAAGTTAAAGAACTAAAAATGCAAAAAAAAAATTAGAATTCTTCATCTAAGAAAAATATTCTCCAAAGCTAATGTAAGCAGAGGCTTTTTCAAATAACTGTTGAGAGCGTTAATCACCAGCATACCTACACTATAAAAAACATACAAAAAGATTTTCAGGTAAAAAAAAATGATAGGGAGGGGGAGGGGGAGGAAGATGGTCAAAATAACCCTTCCAATTGTAACATAAATAAGTATTAAGGATGTAATGTACAATGAGATGACTATAGCTAACATATCTGTACAATATATTAAAAAGCTGAAAATGTGATCGCTTCTCAACCTTTTGGCTAAGATCAAGTGTAAAAAAGTTGAAAATGTGTATATCCAGAGTTTTCATCATAAACAGAAATTTTTTTCTTTACTTTTTACTGCATCTATATGAGAAGATGAATGTTAGCTGAACCTACCGTAGTGATCTAATCATTTCACAATGTATGTACATCAGACCATCATTCTGTATTGCTTAATCTTATACACAGAAAAAATTAATTATCTATCAATAACACAGAGAAAAGAAAAAAGATACTATAGAAGAATTTGAATTACATAAAAAAGAAAAGCAATTAATCAGGTCCATGTGGATCAGTATAAAGGAGCTTATTTTTCTAATTATAAAGTATCTTTATAATTCACCCTTCAAAAATAATATTATGAGATTTGTAACAATATACCATGGGGTTAAATAATGGACTTACCAAAATCACATTAAGCACACAAAAGCAAAATATTATGTGAAGTATGATTCAGATTACTAATAAAACTCTTCATGTTTACCTCACTTGTCCTCCCAACCACTGAGGGAGAAATATCAGAAAAAGTCCTGGGAACCAAAGGTAAAGAAAGAATTATCTCTGAATGAGACACAAGGTCGAGTTACTCAGCACCTCCTTGCTCCACAAAGCTGTGCCAGGTGGGTGTCAGGACACAGTGGTTTGAGGAATTCTCATCCACCTGCCCAAGCTCTGGAGCCCAGACCTCAGCACCATCTTGAGGATGGGGCTCAGTCTCTCCTTGCAGCCTGGTCTCCATGGGAGTCTCTGAACTAGTGGGAGACATAAGCCCTGAAATGAGAGACTAGTGCTTTGGAGACTTTGCTCTGGAGAGGAGGAGATGTGTGAAGCCACAGTGATGTCCCCAAATCCAGGAGACCTTGAGAAGGGTCCTTGCCTGGTGGAGTAGATGCAGGTGCTGAGAAAGCCAGCCCCCATGAGGTCCCCCCATGAGAAGAATGAGGATCAGGGGCCAGGAGCCCTGCTGTGCCCCACAGATCTGGGGGTAGGAATGAGAGATGCCTGGGGGAAGAAGAGGGGACAAGGTGGAGAGGTATTTTTCTCATCTTAGTCCTCCTCATGGTCCACCTCACAGTGCAGGGGTCCTGCTGATACTCACCCTGCACCACTAGGTTCAGGGAGATGTGGTAGGAGATCCGTGGGTGGTGAGCTTTACAGGTGAACTCCCCTGCATCTGTCACGACCACCTGGGGCAGCTCCAGGACCCCTGGCTCCAAGGGCTTGGAAGGGCTGAGAGTCAGGCTCCCCCGCCACCAGCTCAGCCTCCCTGGGGGGTTGCCATCTGTCTCACAGACCAAGCGCAGGGACTGGCCCTCCTGGACTTGCAGGGAGGTGGCATTGCCCAGGACCTCTGGGACTAAGGAGACACAGAGAGACAGAGGGCAGGGCTGAGAGCTGCTCTCTCCTCTGTCCACCCCCAGACACAGGAATGGGAAACCGCATCTCTGAGACAAGCACAGCTAGCAAGGGCCAGTGGGAGTGAAGATGCACGAGGTGAGCTGTGGGCAGGTGAGGCCAACTGTTGCTCCCAGAACTGGGAGTGGGCATTTGAGGAAGAACTGGTCACATGTACACCTCGGGGAGTACCCTTGGCAAGTGGACCTTGATATGAGATATTGTGCAGAGGTGCTGATGCATGTAGGGCTGACCATTGGTGGCTCACACACACACACACGCACACACACAGGTGAAGTTCTCAGCCTCTCCCCTGAGGGAGGAGGGAGCAAGGTGAGTTCTGAGCAGAAGAGGAATAGGGTCACATGGAGGGTATGTGGAGATGATTTTGGGGCCCAAATTGTGGCAGCCTGGAGGGGGCAGAGACTCCAGGGCCTCCCCCACCTGTGCTGTTTCCCCAGAAGACATGAACAGTCAGGTTCTGTGGAGCATCTGGAAGAGAAATAAGTAAGTGTCCACCTGCAGTATGATGGGCTGGTCATGAGCAAGGTGGTGGGTCTAGGTGTTCTCTCCATCCTCACCCCTGCCATGCCCAGGAGAACAGTCCCCAAGTATCCTCCACCCACCCCTGCTCCCCCAACATTCATATCCCTTCAGGACCCGACGTCCTGGCTGAGCACTCACACACAGTGAGCTGGATGGTCGTCTCGGTGCTCACATCAGCCCCAGGGAAGGTCACTCGACAGGTGAGTTTGGTGCCGTGGTCGTCAGGCCTTGGTGTGAGGGTGACCACTGAGGAGCTGAAGGTCCTGGAACCCAGAATGGTGACATTGCCCCCAATCCAGTAGAATTCTGGACGTGTCCCTCTCTCACAGGCCCATGGAAGAGCACAGGTAATGTTCTTGGGGTGCCCTGATTCCAGGAACCCCTGGAAGTAGATGTCCGGTGTCTGTGACAGAGCTGGAGAAGAGAGAGAGAGAGACACCCAGGCTCTGGAGGTGGGGTCATTGAGTGTGCCCCTCATGGCACCTCTACCATTGGCAAGTCCCAGGGTCCTGTCCCCCTGAGTCTCCCTGAGTCCATCCCAGGATGAGAAGAATTGGGATCTTTCCCAGCCCAGGAGCCCTCAGGACCCAGCCATGTGTCTTCCTCTTGACCCCAGTTCTTACCCGTCACATGTACATAGAGCTGGTTCTCTTTATAACTATATGTCTCATAATGCCCTCTCTCCACCCTAAAGAAGTATGTCCCTGTGTCCCTTCTCCGTGCATCTGTGATGTCCAAGGAACAGCTGTAGTTCCTTGGGTCCCCAAGGAGGTGGAATCGGCCCTGCTTTTCGCCTTGCACTTTCCGATCTTGGTTGTTGGTGGCCACTGGTGGATCCTGGAATTCATTGGCTCCTTTCTGAAACCAGTAGCCGTGAGCTGGGGTTGAGTCAGTCCAGTAGTGCTGGCGATAGGTGACAGTGCAGGGCACAAAGACACACAGGGCCTCTTGCACCATTACAGACCTCTGTACTGTCAGCCAGTGGTCCTCATCTTCGGCCAGGGACCCTGCAGAGAAAGGAGGGTCAGCTGCAGATTCACCCTCCTCCCACACGTTCTCCCCTCAGGCTCTCACCGGCCCATAGCAGGGTCAGCAGCAGCTGCAGCATCTCTGGAGGGTGTCTGGGCTCCTTTGAGTGAAAGGAAAAGGAAGGCAGTTGGAGAAGGACTGTGGAGAGCGAGCCCCACAGAAGCTGAGGAGGAGCACGGGACATCCCCCTGCACAGAAGAGGAACTTCAGATGTGGGGGTTGTCCCCTCTCTGCACAGAGCTGGCAGATACCCACAGGCCAAAGACCATGGAGGCCTGCCCAGAGAGGAGAAGTCAGGGAGCAGACCCCGGGTTCCGCCCCATCTCAGGGGCTTCCCTGCAGCACTGGAGCAGGACCAGGACCTTGAGGACCTCTGAGGACGAGACATGTGAGTCTCCTAAAGTCCTCCCATCCAAGGGACTGTTATGAGTTCTGGTGTGTACATCAGGGAGCTGTGTGGACCTGGAGTTCACAGCCTCATCCAGACTCTCAGGTGGTCGGTCCTGCAAGGTGGAGGATTCATGTGTGTGTGAGCATCTAAGGCAGAAGAAACAAGGGGTCCTGGTGCATTGAAGGCAGCACCCATCCACCATCCATCCATCCATCATCCATACATACATCCATCCAACCCACCAAACACTCAGTGAGCATCTAAGTGGAGGCCGGCTGGAGACAGGAAGGGATACATGTACCTGGTCATGCCCATGACATGCTCCACACCCAGTGGCGTCCTTTGTCCCCAAACGCAGTACTGTCGGGCTTCAGAGCTTCAGTCCCATGTGAGTTTAACATGTTTCCACGTGGCATACTGGTTATTTCCTATAAATATGAGTGTTAGTTTTCCTTTTTTTTGTAGTCTAGTTTAAAAAGAAGAACTCTTTTTCAAGTTACAAAACTGAAAATGCTACCCCAACTGCTCATTTTACTTCTCAAAATGATGGAGACCTTCCCCCAGACAGGCATTGCAGGGTCTGGGGGAGGAACTGTCACCTACTGCAGGGTCCTGGGAACCCAGGGAGGTCCCTCTGTTCACAACGTTGCTCCTGGTCCTCCCAGCCCCTCCCCTTGACTTTCACTTCCCCTCTGCAAAAAGGGCCTCTTGCTTCCTCACATCTCTGTCCATTATTCACCGAGACTGCAGGCACTGGAGCATAATCCTTTCTATTTTCCAAGTGAATTCTTTTCTGTGACAGAACACCTGGTCAAGATTTGTTTTTGGCTGACACCCTCCATCTCCCAGCCACTGGCAATCGCCATTCTACTTTCTGTCTCTAGGAATTTGACTACTTTGGAAACTGTATATGTGGAAGTCCACAGTACTTTTCTATCATGTGATGTGTTTGTGTTTATTGCACTGACCATATGTCATCAAGATTCATCCATTGTGATCACATGACAGAAACCCCTTTTAAAAAAAGGTTGAATAGTAGCCTATGGTTGTATATACCACATATGTTTATCCACTTGTCTATTGATGGATCCATGTCTTGCTTGCCACATTTCAGCTGTTGTGAATAGTGCTACTCTGAACATGAGCGTGCAGATATCTTTTACAGTCCCTCTTCTCAATTTGTAGGATATGTAAGTGGAATCACTGGATCGTGTGTTAATTCTGCCTTCAGTTTCCTGAGGGTCCTCCTTTCTTTTACATTCCTCCCACCTTTTCTCATCACCTTTGCCCTCACCACCTGGTGGCTACACACATTAACATCTGCCGTCTGGGCCCCTCTCCTGATCGCCAGACCTTCATCTCCACCTCTCTCCCTGACATCCCTCAGGGAATATCACATGACTACTCAGAATGCATGATACCCTCAAAACCCTGTTCTCTGAGTCCTGCATGCAACACCACTCCCTCTACCCAGGTGCTCCAGGAGAATACTTTGGCACCATCCTTGCCCCTCTCTTTCCTCACTATCCACATACATTAGAAAATTAAGTGAACTTGACCTTCAAATTATATCCTCCTTCCTGCACTATGACCGTGGTCCCAGGGCCATCACCTCCTGCCAGTCCTGCTGTGCCGCTGCTCCTTTGTGCTGCCTGGGGCTCAGTCCAGATGACTGTGGACAGAGCAGCCATTGGGGTCCTGGTAAAATAAGGCCTACTCTTGTGTTGGCTCTCCTCAAGGCTCCAGAATTTTCCATAGGGTCTGCAGCACCCTTCCAGCTGTACCCCCACCCATGCCTCCCTGGGCTGTCACCTCAGCCCATTGTCTCTAATCCATGAAGCTTGCTTCTTCCTCAGAGTTGCTGCATTCAGTGTTCTTCCATTCATTCTCTTTTTGGGAACTTTCCTCTTAAACACACAGCCTGCTTCCTCCTTTCCGCCTCTCTTTGTTCAGACATTATCTCTGCACACACTCAAAATCAGAAAACCCACCTCATATGTCACAGGGTCCTTTCTCTATGCAATTCTCTCTCAATCATCTATCAATATGTGACATGTTCTCATTTAATTTCTTATTTTAATTTCACCTTTGTCTCCATTATGAATACATTTTAAAGAGTTAAGAGCTTCTCAATCCCATAATTTTATTGTGGTAAATTATTCGTAAAATAAAACTTTCCATTTTTAACATTTTATAGGATATGATTCAATGGCATTATTTACATTCATAATGTTGTGCAACCATCACCACTCTCTATTTCCAGAACTGGTCATCATCCAAAACAGAAACTCTGCACAGTTACACAATAACTCCCAGTACCCTAAAAGATACATGAACAATAACAAAGGGGGGTGGAAACAGGAGAGGGAGATAGGGAGGGGTGGGGTGGTGGGGAGGGGTGGGGAGAAAGGCAGAAAACTGTACTTGAACAATAAAAAAATGTTGAAGAAATAACTCCCTGTTCCCCTCCCTTAGATCCAACCAACCAACCTTCTTCTTTTGGTGAGTTTTCCTATTCTTTGCTCATATGAGAAGAGTCATGAAACATTTGTTCTTCTGTGTCTTATTTCTTTCATTTATTATGTTGTTTTCAAGGGTTAATCCATGTTGAAAGAGATGTCAGAATATCATTTGCTCCTTTTTAATGCTGAAGAGTACTCTACTGTACGTATATGCCTCCTTAATTCATTAATTCTTCTGAGGATGGGCTCTAGGGTGGGTTCCATCATTACTTTGAATAACATTGCTTGCCCTATGGAGTGCAAGTACCTGTTGGAGTTTGTAAGTCCAACCCCTTCAACATTTACCTGGGAGTGGATGTTCTGGGTCATATGGTAACTTTGGGTTCACCTTTTGACAGAAATTCCAAAGGGTTTTCCATGATCCTGCACCATTTTTCACTCATAGAAGCTATGCATGAAAATTCCAATTTGTCTACATCGTTGCCAACACTTGTCATTTCTCATTTTAAAATACAGAGATATGTGTAATGACTGTGAAATCATAGTTAATTGTTGATTTCAGTGGTACTTCCCTAATGACTAATGGTGGTGGCCAATTTTTTTTTATGCGCTTGTAGCTCATGTTTATATTTGCTTTCAGAAGTGTCTTTTCATGTCTTTGGGTGGTGGATATTCTTGAAGCAGTGTTCTCTGATGCATCTCTGGGATCTACAACAATGCTAGTACATACTAGGTGTTCAGTGATGCTTCCTAAATGTGTCTATGAATAAATGAGTGAATGTCACTCTGCTCAGAAATGTACAATGACACACACAGTGGCTTGACTCACAGTGAGGGAGAATCAGGACTTGCAGAAGTAGGAATGGGGAAGGAAGAGCATTTCAGCCCAAGAAACTGCACATGCAAAGTCTCAGAGTCACCAAGGCCCTGGTCCAGCTGGGTGTGGACATGGTGTGACATTCACAGACATGGTAGAATCTTGTGCAGCATTCAGCTGGGGATGGACCATGCCAAGTCTTCAGATCCAGCCTGTGTCATTTCCACCTGGGCCTCTGGTCATGGAGAGGAGCCATCAGTGTTTGTACTTTGCTGGTAGTGGACAGTCTCTGGAACCACAGTCTGGAGGTCTGTGTGGAGGGCAGAGATAGAAGTGAGAGACTGATGCTTTCAGAAACCCAGAGAGAGATCAGACCACAGGCATAACCAGGGTCGGACAGGGAGGAGACAGAAATCAAGGTCAGCTCTGATTAGGCCCAAAAAAGGAACAAGACTTAGTGACATATTGGATCAGGGAGAAGAGAGGGAGGGCAAAGTGGAGAACCACACTTCACTTCTGGCCTTAGAGAAGGGGGGCCACCGTGTCATCACTGTGAGAGGGAACCCAGCAAAGAAATGAGTTTGGGAGAAAGGTGACAGCTCAATTTTAGCAAAGCTGAGTGGAGCCATCTGGGGGAGCAAACAGGGGAAGGTGTCCATTGGATGTTGGCAGGCGGAAGTCTGCCTCACTCACCTGTGGGGCCAGCCTAGGATGATATTCTCATCCTCCACATTTTCTGCAGTCTGGGACGACTTCCTCATGCAGATCCTCACTCTGAGGAAATAGACTGTGGTCTTTAGGCTGATGAGACCAGGGTGTAATGGGCAGCAGACCCTGTCCCTTGTAAGGAGCTAAAAGGGACACTGAGGCAGCAGATGTCTGGTCTGGTCCCATGGACCATGCTGAGCACAGCAGATACCTCTCATCCTGGATGTTTGCTGGACACTGCACTTATGACAGCGGCCCATGAGGAATCTTCACCCATCAACCCATCAGCCCCCTGGTTGTTCCATCCCATGAGCCATTCATACCCCATTACTGGTTCTAGACTCAGTCATATGCCCCCTGTCTTCCCCTTGTCCCCCTTTCCCCCTGGGGCTGAGCTCACATGAGGATGATGAGGCAGAGGAGAAGGACCAGGGTCTTGACAGCTGCTTCTGTGATGGCCACGAGTACCACCCCTGCCCTGAGTCCTAAGAGATGATAGATGTGAAATGATACACATTCAAATAGACCCCTAAGCACTGTAAAATCCCACTGACCTCCAAGGAAAGGGTGGTGGCACACTGAAGAAACTTAGTGCACCTCATATTACATAGAAACATCTAATTCCTCTAAATTGAAAAACATTTCCAAGAATGAATAATAAAATTTAAGGTATAGAGTAGAAGACTGAGCAAAGAGTAGAGACAGCTAGCTCACAGAATCAAAGACACGCCAATGACCCTTATTTATAAAACTCATTCTACACCATTTATAATGAGATAAATGCTCAGTAAAGTTCATGGAGAATGTGGTTTTCACCTAATATTGTGAATGTTCTAAGTGTCTCACCTCACCCTGGTCCTGTGCATTGGTGCAACCTTAATGGGAAACAGTTAGACATGTTTTCAAATACAGAGGATGTGGAGAAAAGAGAACCCTTGTTCACTGTTGCTGTGAGTGTAAATTAGTGCAGCCGCTATGCATAACTGTATGGAGGGTCCTCAAAAAATAAACAAGAAATAAAACCAAGAAGTATTGACATATGATCCAGCAATCCTACTCTCTGGTATTTATCTGAAAAAAAAAATGAAACTACCAACTAGCAAAAGTATCTGCACCCCCATGTTCATTGCAGCATTATTTACAATAGTAGAAATTTCCAGAAATCACACAATACTTGGTTCTTGGCACAGTGTCTCTAGACAGAGCAGAGAGACCGACTTGAATATATGGTGCATTCAGGCAAACATTGAAATGGCCCATGGCATTGGAGTGAATGCCCTAGAATAAGGGCTACACTCAGTCTACCATAGGAGACAGATTACAAATTATAGCCTTTAAAATACTGGCCCAAAATGCAAGTAACGTTACTGCCTTCAAGAAAAAGACCAATGTTCTTTAAAGAAATACAACAAAACAAAACAGTCAGTCCCATAAAAAGGGACAATGTCCCCCTCATAGAAAAGTTACTAGGCATATGAAGAAATATGAATGTGCAACACTTCATAAGAGAAAAACCATTCATGAAATCATTCTCAGACATGACTGAAGAGATGGATTTACCAAACAAATAGATGAAGAGTTTTCTTACAATACGTTTCATACACTCAAGGATGTAAAAAAATCATTACCATAATAAGAGAAGAAAATTAAGATAACAAGCTAAGGAACTGTAACTTCTAGAGGAGAGAATACATGTTCTGAAATGCAAATTTCACTGATGAGATTTATAGCAAGTTCAATGTGTAGAATAATTAAAAAAAAACTGGGGCATGTAGCCATAGCTCTTGTTATGACTGACAAATGCAGAGAATAAAAGTTGAATAAAGTTGCACAGATGCTCAAGGCCCTATTATTTAATATTAGGCAATAACATGTAAAATTAAAGAGCAAGAGACTAACAGAAAGAAAGAATAAAACTACAGATATAATTAGCTTCAATTTTTTTCAAATTCGATTACAATGATAAATCCACATCCAAACCATTCAACAAACGCAAATAGGATTAGGATTCCATCTCTCTTCTTTCCTCCCTCTCTCTCTCTTTCTCTCTCTCTCTCTCACACACACACGCGCGTGCGCGCGCACACTCAATCACATCCCACATCAAGGCACATATTACTTAAATCATATAAACCCAGTTAAAAACAAAAACATAAAAACCTGCCAGAGAAAATGGCAAACTACAAGCAGAGAATGAAAAAAAAGAAATTACAGGAATTCTCATAAGAAACTATGAAAATGAAATGAAGTTGAAGAACTGAAAGGGAAAAATGTTTTCCTAGAGTTCCTCATCTAAGAAAAACACCTTTCCAAAGATAATGTAAGCAAAAACTTTTCCAAACAACAGTTGAGAGAATTTATCACCAGCATACCTACATTCAAGAAACGTGCAGAAAGATCTTCATGGGAAAGGAGAAGGATGGGGATGGGGAAATGGACTTGGTCAATATAGAAATTCCACTTACAACATAAATAAGAGCAAGGGACATAATGTGCAATGTGATGGGTATAGCTAACACTGCTGTACAAGTAAGTCATAGGAAAGTTGTTAGAACAGTGAATTCTGAGATCTCATCATAGACAAAAATGTTTCCTTTTTTTCCCTCACTTTTGATTGCCTCTATGTGAGAAGATGAATATTAACTGAACCTACTGTAATAATCATTTCATAATATACATAAGTCAAATCATTATGTTGTGCACCTTAAACTTATACACTAATATACATCAATTATTTTTCAATAAAACTAGAAAAAGTAAAATAATATTGTAGTATAGAAAAATGGAATTATGTAAAGAAATGAAGAGCAATTAAACAGGTTAACATGTGGAAATATACAATCTAAAAGAGCTTATTCTTCTAATTATAAAATATCTTTACAATTCACTGCTTTGAAATAATACCATGAGATTTATAAATATATAATATGGTGTTGAATAATGGGCTTGTCATAACAACACTGAGGTAAGCACAAAAGTAAAATATTATGTGGAGTGTGATTCAGATTACTAATAAAATGCTCTTTTTTTCCTCATTTGTCCTCCCAAGCAATGAGGGAGAAATATCAGAAAAAGTCCTGGGAACCAAAGGTAAAGAATTATCTCTGAATGAGACACAAGGTCGAGTTACTCAGCACCTCCTTGCTCCACAAAGCTGTGCCAGGTGGGTGTCAGGACACAGTGGTTTGAGGAATTCTCATCCACCTGCCCAAGCTCTGGAGCCCAGACCTCAGCACCACCTTGAGGATGGGGCTCAGTCTCTCCTTGCAGCCTGGTCTCCATGGGAGTCTCTGAACTAGTGGGAGACATAAGCCCTGAAATGAGAGACTAGTGCTTTGGAGACTTTGCTCCGGAGAGGAGATGTGTGAAGCCGCAGTGATGTCCCCAAATCCAGGAGACCTTGAGAAGGGTCCTTGCCTGGTGGAGTACATGCAGGTGCTGAGAAAGCCAGCCCCCATGAGGTCCCCCCATGAGAAGAATGAGGATCAGGGGCCAGGAGTCCTGCTGTGCCCCACAGATCTGGGGGTAGGAATGAAAGATGCCTGGGGGAAGAAGAGGGGACAAGGTAGAGAGGTATTTTTCTCATCTTAGTCCTCCTCATGGTCCACCTCACAGTGCAGGGGTCCTGCTGATACTCACCCTGCACCACTAGGTTCAGGGAGATGTGGTAGGAGATCCGTGGGTGGTGAGCTCGACAGGTGAACTCCCCTGCATCTGCCACGACCACCTGGGGCAGCTCCAGGACCCCTGGCTCCAAGGGCTTGGAAGGGCTGAGAGTCAGGCTCCCCCGCCACCAGCTCAGCCTCCCTGGGGGGTTGCCATCTGTCTCACAGACCAAGCGCAGGGACTGGCCCTCCTGGACTTGCAGGGAGGTGGCATTGCCCAGGACCTCTGGGACTAAGGAGACACAGAGAGACAGAGGGCAGGGCTGAGAGCTGCTCTCTCCTCTGTCCACCCCCAAACACAGGAATGGGAAACCGCATCTCTGACACAAGCACAGCTAGCAAGGGCCAGTGGGGCTGAAGCTGCATGAGGTGAGCAGTGGGCAGGAGAGGCCAACTGTTGCTCCCAGAACTGGGGGTGGGCATTTGAGGAAGAGCTGGTCACGTGTACACCTGGGAGAACACCCTTGGGAGGTAGACTTTGATGTCAGAAGCTGTGCATAGGTGCTGATGCATGTAGGACTGACCATTGGAGGCTCACACACACACACACACAGGTGAGGCTCTCAGCCTCTCCCCTAAGGGAGGAGGGAGCAAGGTGAGTTCTGAGCAGAAGAGGAATAGGGTCACATGTGGGGTATGTAGAGATGATCTGGGGGCCCAAATTGTGGCAGCCAGAAGGAGGAGAACCTGGAGGCTGCAGGCCACAGAGGAGGCTGGTCCAGGTCCAAGTCTCTGTCATGTCCGAGTGAGAGAGAGGACAGAGGCCCAAGGTGAGGCTGGGTGGCTGTGGGGATTGAGGAAGTTTGAAATCTGAGACTTTTGCAGGATGTCAAGTTTGCTGAACTCAGTGTGTCCTGGGGAGTGTTGGGCAAACACAGGGAAGCCTGAAGTGACTTTCCAGACATTGTGTCAGGTCCCTCAGGCAGGAAGGGCCCTCCCTGGGGGTGTGGACGGCCCTCGGGGTGATCTGGTGAGCACAGAGCTTTGTGAGGGTCTTCAGGGAAGGGGTAGAACAGAAGCACTGGGTCAATGACTCTCCCGAAGGGTCAGGCAGAAAGGGGCTGGTAACCAGGCACACAGCTGCAGACTCATCTCCTTGGAGGAGAGGGAGAAGGCACAGCCAGGGAGAGGGAAGGAGTCAGGAAGAGGACATCATGAGAAAGTGCTGGAGAGAAGAGGTCAGGGGTGAGGGAGCAACCAGAGGTGACACTGAAAGGTCAACTTGAAATTCACAGGAAACCTAGAGAGACCTGGCAGGGAACAGGTGGGGGACAGGGCAGAGGGGGACTAGAGTGGAGAAGGGTGAAGGGGCTTCATTCTGCCCAATGTCAGATCATGTGCCCCCTGTGCCCTCTGACCTCAGCTCCAACCCGGGCCTCTCCCACCTGTGCTGTTTCTCCAGAACATGCGGATGTGTACAGAGTTTGATGTGAAAAGCTGTGCAGGGATGCTAATGCAGGCAGGGCTGACCATTGGAGGCTCACACACAGGTGAAGCTCTCAGCCTCTCCCCTGAGGGAGGAGGGAGCAAGGTGAGTTCTGAGTAATGGAGGAATAGGGTCACATGGAGGGTATGTGGAGATGATTTTGGGGCCCAAATTGTGGCAGCCTGGAGGGGGCAGAGACTCCAGGGCCTCCCCCACCTGTGCTGTTTCCCCAGAAGACATGAACAGTCAGGTTCTGTGGAGCATCTGGAAGAGAAATAAGTAAGTGTCCACCTGCAGTATGATGGGCTGGTCATGAGCAAGGTGGTGGGTCTAGGTGTTCTCTCCATCCTCACCCCTGCCATGCCCAGGAGAACGGTCCCCAAGTATCCTCCACCCACCCCTGCTCCCCCAACATTCATATCCCTTCAGGACCCGACGTCCTGGCTGAGCACTCACACACAGTGAGCTGGATGGTCCTCTCGGTGCTCACATCAGCCCCAGGGAAGGTCACTCGACAGGTGAGTTTGGTGCCGTGGTTGTCAGGCCTTGGTGTGAGGGTGACCACTGAGGAGTTGAAAGTTCTGGAAACCAGGGAGGTAACATTGACCCCGATCCAGTAGAATTTGGGTAGTGTGCCTCTCTCACAGGCCCACGGCACCATGCAGGTAATGTTCTTGGGGCGCCCCGATTCTAGGAACCCCTGGAAATGGATGTCCGGTGTCTGTGACAGAGCTGGAGAACAAAGACAGAGACCCAGACCCTGCAGGTGGAGTGCCTGAGTTTGTCCCTACCAGCAGCTTCTGTGCCAGGCCAGCCTCAGGTCCTGTACCCTGGATCCCTCTGAATTTTTCCTAGGATGAGGAGCAGGGTGTCCCATCCTGTCCCTGTGCTGGGTGTCCTCAAGACTCATTTGTGTGTCCTCTCCTTGCCCCAGTTCCTTACCTGTCACATGTACTGAGAGTGGGTTCTCTTTGTAACTGTATTTGACATAGGATCCTCTCTCCACCCTAAAGAAGTATCTCCCTGTGTCTCTTCTCTGTGCCTCTCTGATGTGCAGGGAGCAGCTGTAAGTCCGGATGTCTCCAATGAGGTGGAATCGGTCCCTAGTCTCCATCATGACTTTATGACTGGGGTTGTTTGTGGCCACAGGATCATCCTCTCCTGACTTGGCCCCTTCCTGGAACCAGAAGCCATAAGCTGGGTCAGACTCACTCCAGCCTTCCTGGGGGTAGGACATATTGCAGGGCACGGAGACACACAGGCCCTCCTGCACCGTCACGGACCCCTGCACTCGCAGCTGGAATCCTGGATGCTGAGCCAGGGACCCTGTGGGGAAAAGAGGGTCAGCCACAGCCTCCACCCCAGCTCACACGCTCTCCCCTCAGGCACTCACCGGCCCACAGCAAGGCCAGCAGCAGCAGCAGCAGCAGCAGCAGCATCTCTGGAGGGTTTCTGGGCTCCTGTGGGTGAAGAGAGAAGGAAGGCAGTGAAAGAGAGCCTACAGGGAGCAAGCCCCACAGAAGCTGGGGAGCAGCATAAGAACTCCCTTTCCACAGAAGAGGAACTACCACGCTTGAGTCTGTCCCACATATGCAGAGTCAGTGGACACCCCATAGCTCAGACGCTGGAGACCCGCCCAGAGAGGAGTGGTCAGGGAGCAACCCAGGTCCTGCCCCATCTGGGAGAGGTCCCTACAGGACCAGGATCTCTGAGAATGGGACACGTGAGTCTCCTCCAACGCCTACTCCTGGTGTATTGCCTTTTAAAAAATGAAATAAGCCCTGGCTGGTGTAGCTCAGTAGATTGAGTGCCAGCCTGGGAGGCATAGGGTGGCAGGTTGAATTCCCAGTCAGGGCACATGTCTGGGTTGCCAGCCACGTCCCCAGTAGGGGGCGCTCAAGAAGCAGCCACACATTGTTGTTTCTCTCCCTCTCTTTCTCCCTCCCTTCCCCTCTGTCTAAAAATAAATAAATACAGTCTTTAAAAAATTGAAATGAAATCAGAACAATGACCTCATGGGTTGTTCTTTATGTACATTGTATGAAGAAGAAGCATTGTATCTTGGCTTATAGTAGTTTTGACAATATGCTGGCACAGCAAGAAGTGGACTGTGACCCAATCTTAGGAAACTTGAAAAACAGTGCCAAAGGGTCGCCCTCTAGTGGCCGAATTTTGTCAGTGTGTCAAGTTTTCATTTCATGGGGCTGGAGATGGCAGTGAATACAATCCTCGCTGAACAAAGGCTGAAGGTTTGAATAACATTTATCTGAGAATTTTCCCATTTACTACAGATTTTAAATTTATGGGCTTTAAAGGTTTTCATTTTTTTCTGTTTAATTTCTGCTACATAAAGGGATGTCTTATTTATGTTCTCAGATGCTGGTTCCTCTGTCGTCTACAGTTATTTCTGGATTAACTGAACTTTGTCAGCTTTACTGTTCTATCAAAGAACTAAAACTTCATGATGTTCATCTCTATTGAATAGTTTTTCTGTTACACGTGGTCTTACATTGGTATTTTCTTTCTTCAATTTTCTTTTCATTTATGTTACTGTTATTTTCCTAAGTTTTTTTTATGATTTTATTTACTTATTTTTAGATACAGGAGAAGGGAGGGAGAAAGAGAGAGAGAGAAACAAAACATGTGGTTGCCTCTCACGCACCCCCTACTGGGTACCTGACCCCCAACCCAGGCATGTGCCCTAGACTGCAAAATTGAACCAGAGACCCTTTGATTCACAGGCTGGCACCCAACCGCTGAGCCACACCAGCCTGAGCCCTAAGTTATTTTTAATAAAGTCTTAGCTTATTAAATTTGAGCTCTTCTTCATCAGATATAGACATATGAAATTATATGTATTTCTTCTAATAACCACTTTAGTTTTACAGCATATGTTTTATAGTTAGTATTTTTATTATTACTTAATTTTAAATAATTTTAAATTTGCATATTTTATGCTTGACTTATTTATAAGGGATTTTCTGAATTTCTGCTAATATTTACATGCATAGTGATACAGAGTTATATTTATGACTATATAATATATAAACATATAATATATATTTATGACTACAAGAGCTGACCCCTCCCCAAAAAATCCCAGAATTATCTTCTGGAGAGCAGGCCCCTTGTAGTACCAGAGTCCCCCACTAGGTGGGTGTTCCAGAACCCATCTCTGTGTGTGTACCAGCTAGTATTATTGTGAGAGGCTGTGTTCAGCTTCAGTGATTTTTTTCTTTTGAAGACTATTTTTTAAGACATTTGCCTGTTTCACAATGGGAATTTATGAGTGCACCTGCCCATACCACACTGATTGTTAAACAGTTTTTGATCAAAAACGGCATGACCCTTGTGCTCCACCCTCCCTATTCACCTGATCTTGCCTTGAGCGACATTTTTTTGTTTCCCCAGATGAAAAAAGTCCTGAAAGGGAAATGTTTTGCCAATGCAGAAGAGGTGGAACAAAAAATGGCAGAAGCACTAAAAGGTTATCAAAATTGACAAGTTCAAAAACTCTTTTGAGCAGTGGAAAAAGCATCTCGATGGGCGTATAGCATCAAGTGGAGAGTATTTTTAAGGTGACTGAAGTTTAAACATGTAAAATAAATAAGCAATTATTTATAAATAAATTCTGTTTTTTTTCAGGTCTCCCTCATGTAATATATTATATAATCAAACATAATATAAATATAATAGTGCTTTTGTTGTCAATTTCTAGCTTAATCAACTTGGAACCAGAGAATATATTCTGCATGATTTCAATCCACTTCCATATGTTGAAATTTTACTTTCTGTGGCTCAATATGTGAAAAAGTATTTTGGGATGTTTCATGTGTGTGCGTGATCAAATAAAATGCATGTTCTGTCATCATTGAGACAACTTTTCTATCTATATCTGTAGGTCAAGCCCTTAATAATGCTGTTTACATGCAGTGTAATTATATTTCCTGAGTGGTTTTCTTGTCTCTGTGTTTTATAAATTATCATAATATATATATTAAAATTCCCTCTAAGAACATGGATTTGTTTAATTTTTTAAAAACTTTTCCAGTTTTTCCCTTATGTTGTCATATGCATGCACATTTCAAATGTTATCCGTCCCTGGTAGATTGAATTTTTCGTCATGATGAAGTGCTCCCATTTATCTTCATTAATACTCTTTATTATAAAGTATATATTTTCTGATATAAATACACTTGTGATGGTCAGCAATCCTCAGAAAAAGTCAATCAAACACTAATCTAGGTTTTACATAGATCTCTTGTAAACAACCTACAGACACATTTTCCCCTATTCTGACTATATTTGTATTTTATTGAGAGCATGAAGTCCATTTATGCTTAATATGATTTTAAAGATATATTTGGGTCTAAATATGTAATCTTATATTTGTACTCTATATGTTCTATTCTCTTTTTTCCCTCTTAATCTCCCATCTCTTGCTCTCTCTGGTTTGATTGAAAAATATTTCCAGAACCTCTTATACTTCTAGTTTGGAGATGATAAACCTGGAGTCAAGTCTTTTAGAAAATTTCCTTGATCTTGCAACAGCAAAATAGCAAAATCTAAAGCCTATCATAACATTTTGTTTTCTCCTGAATAACATAAAGACTTAATCAGATCAAAATTCCATTTATACTTTCCTGAATTATGTTACAATAGTGTGGCATTTCAATATTATATTTTATGTTTGACCCCTTTACGCATCATATTTTTCACAATAGTGTTTGTTTTTTTTAGCTCACATATTTGCCACTTTCTCTTTCATTGTTTTTTTTAGAGAGAGAGAGAAAGTGGGGAGGGAGAGCGAGAGAAACACCAATTTGTTGTTCTGCTTACTTATGCATTCATTGGTTGCTTCTTGTTGATGCTTTGACTGGAGCTTGAACTTGAACCTTGGCATATTGGGATGCTGCTCTAACCAAATGAGCTACGAGCCAAGGCAGAGATAAGGTCTTTAAAGAGATACTTCAGTTTAAGTTGAGGTTATGAGGTTAGGCTTTAATTCACTATCTGTGGTGTCCTTATCAGGAGAGGAGATTTGGACCACAGAGGGAGGACTATATGAAGATACAGAGAGAAGACAACCATCTACAAGCCAAGGGAGAAGCCCCAGAAGACACCAAGCCTGCTGACACGTTGATTGAAGACTTCCAGCCTCCAGAACTGTGAGAAGTAATTCCTCACTTGTGTGTCCTGATCTCCGAGTACACAGTGTTGGCATCTTCCTGTTCCCGAAGCTTCAGATCATGAAATCTGAGGAAGGCATAGTGGAGCCCCTGTTCTTCTTTTGCAGTGGGCCTGACACCATCAGGGGCTGGGTGAGCTGAAGGGCTGTCTGTCAAGAACAGATGCTGATGCCCCTGAGTGGAAAAAAGAGAAAGGATTCAAAGCTGCTCAAAGGTGTCTGGGAGAAAGCAGCCAAGGGCCAGAACAGGGGTTGGAACAGGTGGAACTTCTTTCATTCACCCGTCCATTTATTTTAAAATGTTTAATAATTAAGATTGGCCAGTCCTTAGAGAGTGTTTGTATTGATCACATTATATTCTTTTAAGAAATGCTGGGAGAGGAAGCTATGATCATATTCACCTTACAAAAAAGTAAAACTAAGACTAAGAGAAATTAGACACACATCTCTGTAAATGTGCCACTGAGCCACGAGGTCACTACCAGTCTTTTTAACAACAGTGTCTTCTTTTGTTCAGGTGGGTTACAATTTTCTAGGAGAGGTAGTTACTAAACAAATAGAAAACACATATGTTTCAAGTTCTAAATTTGGAATGGAAGATATTTTAAAACGTAAAGCAAGGGAAAGGGTCGAGTATGCTAGAAGACGGAGTGGAGACCAGGTCTTGCAGCAACCAGACCCCCTCGCCCATATCTCCTCCCTGCCCACAACACCCTCAGGGTCCAGAAGTATGAACTAGAAACCCTTAAACAGAAGCTATTTTTTAAAAAATGAAATAGTGCCATTTGAGACAACATGGATAGTATCATGTTCAGTGAAATAAGCTAGAGCAAAAGGGGCAAAACTGTATGATTTCACTCATGCGCAGTTATAAAACAAAGCAGCAGACAAAATGAACTCCCAGACACAGTCAACAGAATGATGGTTACCAGAGGGCAAATGGGACTTCAGGGGAGGAGGAAGAGGGTAAAGGGGGCCAAACACATGGTGATGAGAGAGACTAGACTTTGGGTGGTGAGCACACAATGGAGCATACAGATATTGTATTATAAAGTTGTATACCTGAAATGTATATAATGTTATTAACCAATGTTATCCCAATAAACTTAATTTTAAAAAGAAAAAAACACCTGGCTGGTGCGGCTCAGTGGATTGAACCAAAGGGTCTCCAGTTCCATTCCCAGTCAGAGCACATGCTTGGGTTACAGGCCAGGTTCCCAGTAGGGGGTGTGTGAGAGGCAACCACACATTGATGTTTCTCTCCCTCTCTTTCTCCCTCCCTTCCTCTCTGTCTAAAAATAAAAATTTTAAAAAAAGGAAAAAACCCAGATTGAAAACAAAAATTCACCAAACTGTACACCTGAGATATTTGCATTTTGTTGCATGTGGACAAAAAAAAAAACATTCCAGGGTAGAAGATAATCTGACATATGAGGCTTGAATACCCCCCAACAAATCAATTGGACCACGTGCAGATTCTATCAGAAGCAGCAGCATTAGAGCAGTTGAATCAGCGATTTAAACTAACCACATGTGGAATTCCTGAAGATGTTGGACATCTAACACTGAGATGTCTGTTATGCAGGGCAGCATCGGAAGGAATAATGCTGAATGGGGGGCTGCATCCTGTCACTCACCCTGGCGCCTGAGCTCACGACTGGGTTCACATCATTGTCTGTTCTCTGCAGTTGCTGGACTGCTCTCTCCCTGCAGGTCTTCACTCTAGGGAAACAACCCCGGGAATTTCAGCCTGGTTATTTGGGGCATAGAGCAGACAGACCATCCCCACTCCCTCTGGAGAGCATGCAGCGAGGTGGGTGGAGGTGGGCCTTCTCCAGGGGCTTCCAAGGACTGGACCAGGAAGAGTTGGGAAAACCTACTTGGCCATACTCGGCCCGGCTGATTATGGGCTGATTCATGCCAGCACTCAACCTCCCTTCCGTGGCTCCTGCTTTCCCACCAATCCAGGGTCCTCCAGCTCAGGCTTCCTGAGATTTAGACCCCTCCCTCTGGCCCTGGACCTCACTCTTACCTGAAGATGAGACAAAGGCAGAGGGAGAGCAGGGCCAGGGCCGTGATGCCGGCTCCCCCAACCACTCCCACGGCCCCACAGTCCCTGGGCTCTGGTTTACCTGCAGAGAATTTGAGTTTCGTGTAAACCCCAACCCCAGTCCCCGGCATCCTCCACACTGGCCACTTCTGTCTCTGTTCCATTAGCGCACTTCTCACTCAGGCCTCCGTGCCTCAGCATTCTGTCTGTCGCCTTGTGGGCCCTTCCCTTCCCGGCTCCCTTTCGCTGACCTCAGGACTCAGGATCTTACACCCCCACCCACTTTGGCCCAAGTTTTAAAATGCCTCTTCTCCAAGCTCCACCTGTCTGGAGCTGTTATGGCTTGATCTGTGTGCCCCCAACATTCATATGTTGCAATCCTAACCCTCCAGTACCCCCCCTGCCCCCGCCATCGCCCCATACCTCGCAACGTAACCTTATTTGGAGATAGGGTCTTTGCAGAGATAATAATTACAATGAGATTGCTAGGGTGGACCCTTAATCCGATACGCATGATATCCTCACAAAATGCAGAATTTGCACGCAGACACACACAGGGGGAACGCCACGTGAACAGAGATGGGGGTGATGCTTGTACAAGCCAAGGAATGCCAAAGATTGCCAGTCAGCCAACCCCCAGAAGCTAGGGGAGACCGGCAACACATCCAGAGCCTCAGAAGGAATCAACCCTGCTGACGCCTGGACCTTGGACTTCCAGCCTCCAGAACTGTGAGACAATAAGCCCTCCTGTTTAAGTCTATCGGTTAGAGGTATTTTGTTACACAGCCTCCTATTCCTCCAGGCATCACCGCCCTCCCCCGCAAAAGACCCCTGGCAGCAGCAGGACACTGGAGCTCTGGGCCCCATGGACATTCCCAACCTCGAGGTTGAGCCTGAGGCGGGCACTGAGCCCTGAGCAGAGGCTCAGGGAGCTGTTGGCCCACGGCCCCGCAGAGCTGGAGGTGACCTTGCAGGAGGCGTTGCTGGGTTACTCTCCAGCAGCCCCACCCCCAGCCTCCAGCGCTGCAAGGGGATTGGCTGAGCCCCGGAGGAGCAGCTGCAGCACACTCTCCTCCTCGAAGTAGCAAGAGGGTCCCAGCAGCTGTGGGGCAGGGGTGTGGGGAGTGAGGACTAGGGCCCTCCCAGTGTGGTAGGCAGTTAGACAGCCATGAACACAGCAAGGACGGCGGCCAGGTACAGAAGGTCACCAGCGCGGTGCCTAGCAACAGGCAAAACTGGGAAAACAAGGAGCTTGCCCCTGGGGAAACCTTTCCTCCCCTTGCAAATCGCTGGTCATGCAGTTCGGACCCTCCTCTGAATCTGTCCCCTGGCATGTTGCTAGTCACACGGGTTAGACCCCCTTAAAGGAGGAAGGAACATGGGGGCTAGAGAATAACCCTTAAGCATGGAGCTCCCAGGATGACGAGGTTCTGACCCACATCAACTACATTTAGGCCTCTGTTGTCTTTCAGCTCCAGGCCCAGAAAAGCAGCAAAAACAGACAAGTGATACCAGGACTGACAGAGGTCAGAACCAGCAACATTGATTAATGACCCCCTGCCCTGGTGCCAACCCATCAGGAGAGACCAGGACCCTGAAAGGGCACACCTGGAAAGTTGAGGAATATTCTACTGGGATCCTCCCCCAATCCCAGGCCTCCAGATAAATACCCTTAAGGCAGGGGTGTCAAACTCGTTTTCACCAGGGGCCACATCAGCCTTGAGGTTGCCTTCCAAGGGCTGAAATAACTTTAGGATTGTATACATGTAACTACTCCTTAACTGTTAAGGAGTTGAAATTACATTCGGCCTTTGGAAGGCAACCTCCAGGCTGATGTGGCCCCGGGGAACATGAGTTTGACACCCTTGCCTTAAGACAGAGGACCCAACCTGCTCTCCCTTCTGGGAGGGAGGGGAGCAGGCCTGCATTCCCTCCCCCCCCCCCCCAAAGCGATTACCTTCTCTCTCCTAAGCTCCAAGGGCCCCTTCTTTTGCATCTGTAACTTGTGTCCTCAGCCCATTCCTTCTATGGCTCACTTCTTCTACATCTGTGACTTTCTAAATAAACTTTTATAGTTTGAGTCTGAGCTCTGAAATCTTTCTTAGCCAGAACTCAAGGACTGAGATTGCTGAATCCAGGTCCGGTCTGACTCCACTGGTGTAACACCTGGTGCAGTTCTTGCCGCTGCCAACACCAGGACCCAGCTGTCTGCCCCCAAGCGTCCCCCACCCCTCCACTCACAGGGCACAGAGAGGCTCAGTGAGACAGGGAGGGAGCCGAGTGGGTCCTGAATGTGGCAAATGAATTCACCTTCATGCTCCATTTGCATCGGAGGCAGCGCCAGGACCCCGGGTGCTCAGGGCTGGGACTGGCTCAGGGCTTTTGACTCCAGGGACCTGCTCTGCGTCCCACCCACTCACAAGACCCAGGGTCTTGTCTTCCCACCTGCTTGCAGAACCTGGCTGTAGGTTCCCTTCAGGCAAGAGGCCAGAGACGTCCTGTCCTAGTAAATCACCCGCTTTCTGACCACAGCTGCTCTCTGCAGCTCCATTCCCCCTTGGTTCCCTTCTTTTCTCCCTCAGCCTCCGCCCCCCGCCCCCGCAGGCCCCTGACCCGGCAGCAGCGGCGGCAGCGGCGGCAGCAGCAGCAGCAGGACACTGGCGCTCTGGGCCCCGTGGACATTCTCTGCCTCGCAGCTCAGTCTGAGGTCACAGCCGAGCCCCACGCGGAGGTTCAGGGAGCTGTTGGCCCAGGGCCCCGTGGAGTAGGAGGTGATGGTGTAGGAGGCGTTGCTGGGGTTCTCCTCGAGCAGCCCCTCCCCCAGCCGCCAGTGCAGCGAGGGGACCGGCTGAGCTCTCGAGGAGCAGCTGCAGTTCAGATCCTCGTCCTCCCAGGAGCAGGAGGGCCCCAGCAGCTGTGGGGGGTCTGTGGGGAGCCAGAAGAAAGGTCAGCAGTGCCCCTGCCCACCCAGGACCCAGGTGCCCTGCCCCCAGGCTCCCCCACACTCACAGACCACAGAGAGGCTGAGAGAGATACTTCTGGAGCCCAGCAGGTGCTGAGCCTGGCAGGTGAACTGTCCTTCTTCTCCAGCCCCCACTCTAGGCAGCTCCAGGATCGCGGTGCTGGAGATGGGGGTGGCGTTCAGGGCTGGGGGCCCCCTGAACCAGCTCATTGCTGCAGGGGGGTTGCTGTCAGCTACACAGAGCAGCCTCAGAGCCGTGCCCTCCAGGATGGGAAGGGATGTGGTTTGCAGAATCTTGAGGGCTTTGTGGGGAGAAGTGGGGAGAGAAAGAGAGAGAGAAATGGGGTGGGCAAAGCTGGAGCGCCTCTCCCCCTGCGATGTCCCCACTAGGCTCTGAGGAGGGCCCTGCAGCATCCTGGCCTTACACCTTCAGGAAGGGCTCCAAGGATTTCCCTCGGGTCGCCCAGGCTGTCCGGCAGATGGGTGACAAACAAATGCAGTTACGGGCCAAAGAAGAGAAGACAGAAGCAGGAAGGTGTAAATCATCAGAGAGAAGGCTGAAGCCAGAGGGGTGTGAGCTTCCTTGCATTTGGCCACAGGAAGCTGTGGGTGAGCAGAAGATGAACTTTCAGGAGTTGATATTGCAAGGGGGGCACTTTCCATCTGACCTCAATAGCTGGCTTTCCCTGTATATTATTCCTCTTCAGAGCTCTGGGACTGACCTAGACCCTGAGTCCATCCTAGCCCTGGGGAGAAGAGGTCCTTTCCTACCTGTGCTGTTTCCTTGGATGATGTGGATGGCCATGTTCCGTGGAGCATCTGGGACAGAAGAACGTGGCAGCCTCAACATCCATGGTGACAGATGGGTAGGCACTGGGCCCTTCCCCACCCCCCAGGAGCCATGGAAACAGGTGAGAGGGCTCCCTTCCTCTTGGACTACCAGGCCCCCAATTTCAAACCCCTGGCCCAGCACTCACAGGTGACATGGAGCTGGACAATTCTCTCCACAGCCACACCCATTGCAGGGAACTGCACCTGACAGGTGAGGTTTGTCCCGTGGTCCTGAGGCCGTGGGGTGAGAGTGAGCATGGACGACAAGTGTGTCCTGGGGCCCAGGGAGGTGTGAGCAGCTGATGTCCAGGAGAAGAGGGGGCTTGTGCCCCGCTCACAGGCCCAGGGCACAGAGCAGGTCAGGTTCGTGGGGTGGCCAGACTCCAGGGTCCCCAGGGTGAGGATGTCAGGTGTGTGGGTCAGGGCTGGAGTGAACAGTGAAGGTTAGGCCCCCTCAGCCTGTGGTCAGCCTACCCCAGGGTCTTATTTTGGCGGTCCCCACTCCACCCCCAGGGGCCTTCATTTCTCTTTTTCTGGTACCCCACACCCTGTGGCTTCTCTTTGGGCCACTGTCATACCCGTCACTTTCAGAAAGAGCATCTCATCTGTATAGGAGTGTGCATTCCCGAAGTAATTTTCTATTCGGAAGAAGTACAGCCCACTGTCCCTCCTGTTGGCATTTTGGATGCTCAGGGAGCAGTTGTTGGACAGGGGGTCCTTGGGGAGGAAGAACCGGCCCTGGGTCCTCTCCAGCACCTTCTGTCCAGGTTTATTTGTGGCCACTAGAAGATCATGCTTCATATTCACTTCTTTTTTAAACCAAAACATGTAATGGGTTCTAGAGATCATCCAGGAATGGGAAAATTGGCACGGCACCACGACACACAGGCTTTCCTGCACTGTTACCAACTTCTGTAGTTTCAGCCAGGAGCTTGAACCCTGAGCCAGGGGCCCTGGAGAGAGAGAGAGAGAGAGAGAGAGAGAGAGGGAGGGAGGGAGAGAGAAACTCAGCCTAGAGCTTCGGGACCTCCTCCCACATGGGGTTCCCTCTCCCCCTCAGCCCACTCACCTCCCCAAAGCATGAGCAACAGCAGCCTCAGCAACATCCCTTCCTCATGCCCGGAGGTGGAGGTGGCCCACCTTCTTCAGCCCTGTCTGAGAGAGAATGGAAAGATGCAGATAAGGGAGGGCAGAAAAAGCTTAGACCGGAAGCCTGTGGTGAGAACGAAAAGTCACAAGCCCAGAAGAGGGAACTTCTTCCAACCCCATTTCTGCATGTGGCAAATGAACCCTCAGGCTCCGAGGAGGTGAGAGACTTGCCCAGCTAAAACAGCAAGGAAGAAGGAGAGCCCCCAAGTCCTGGGGTCAGGCATCCTCATCTGCACCAGAGAAGCAGGTCCCACCTGGCCAGATCCCTGACAGTCATGGCCTTGGGGTCCTCATGGAGATGGCCTGCTAGGGATGAATCACAGAGTAGCCAAATGGGCACCAGCAGCAGAGAAGGCAACAGAAGAGGCAACAGAAACACCACACACCTTCACTCATTTCACTCATTCATTCATTCATTCATTCATTTGCAAACTAACAAAAAAGATTGAGTCAGTCCTGACCTTCCACTAGTTCAAGCAGTGAGAGAAGACAGACACGAGGAGGGGCTAGAGCTTTATCAGAAGGCACTGGGGAGCCACGGAAGGTTGTTAAACAAGAAAGGGGCAGGGTTGTTTAGGGGTCAGCACGGTCCCTCTGAGGCCCGTGTAGGGAAGAGCTGGAAGGGAGAGATGGGCGGCCCAGGTGCCAGACAGGAGATAGTTGTGGGTTGTAATCGTTCAGCGGGGGTAGAACACATCTGCATGGTGATGGGGGGAAAGATTTGAGATGGAAGGCCCTTTGAGGAAGTGAATTTTGAAGGAAGGTGTGATGAATGGGGCAGGTAGGTGTTTCAAGTGACTCTCAGAGCCCAGGGATGGGGGATGGAGGTGCTGTCCCCAACAGCACAGTAAGCATGCAGGGCTGGGCTGGGAAGAAAGTTGTAGGAAGACAGCAGAGTTGGCCCCTGGGGTTCTTCCCTAGGGACCCTTGCCTATGTATCACATCCGGAGACAGCACTCTATACTGAGAGACAAATGTCACAGAATCCCTCTCTGTTGTGAAGTATGCCCACTCCCCTGAATCTCAGAGAGCAGCTGTGGGCCTGTAGGTCCCCACAGAGGTTGGAATTGGCCTCAGGTTCTCTGTTCCCCGTTCTGATAGAGCCTGTGACCAGACCAGAGGGGAATGATGATGATGTCTGCTGGCCACCATCTGGGATCCGAAGGTGCATTTCGAGGGGGCTAACGTTAGCCCAGAAAAGCCGTGGGTTGGACTGGAGAATGGGACTGAGGCACAGGCTGGTCCCGCTCTGCTCTCACTGACTGAAGGTCACACGTTCACTTCCCGCACCACCCTCTGGGGCCACCCTGACCAACAGAGTCTCTGAGAGCAGCCTCACCGGAAACCTCTTCCATACACCTGTTACCCTCACAGCTGTGGCCACGGCAGCATCCACATCTTTGGGCTGCAAAGAATAGTTTAGATTCCCTTGGCACCATCGGATGAGCCTGGAGGTGGGGGCAACTGCAGGCTGGTCAGAGAACTGGGGGGACTCTTTTTGGATGGAAAGTGTGGTCTCTGCCCCAAAGTTTTCCTTTCAACAGGACTACCTCTCTCTCTCAGGCCACTGCAGGGGAAGTGAAAGCTGAGCTCAACTCCCCCTGGACCTCAGCAGGTGGAGGCTCCTCTCCTTCTGAACCCTGAAACTCTGCCCCTCATCTCTTGAAGACCAATGCCCACTTCCCTCTAGAGAGGTGTGGAGTTGGAGGGTCTATTTTTTCCAGATGCTTTCTTGGAGCCATAGGTACAGAAGAGTGAGATTCCAAGACTCTCCTGGGACCAAATCCTCTCTGTCTAAGAGTCACCCCAAGGCTGGAGCACCCTGGATGGCCACAGGAAGCACTAGGTGAACTCTTGAATCCATCTCCCCAGGGAGTCTATGGACAGAGTCTAGGACTGACCCTGGGACCCTCACTACAGTGCCAGTCCTGGGTGGGCGGTTTGGGTTCAGGGGGAGATCACAGATGACTGGATGCCAGCCCTCCTCACAGTTCCTGTGAGCCCCACACATACGAGTACAAAATATCCCTGCTCGTCTTCTCCACAACCTCTCCAGCCTCCACAATGCCTCCCCACCACAGGTGACTGACCACCTGCCTTCCCTCTCCTAATTACATCATTCCTGCAGCCACCCATTTATCAGGTTACACCTGTGAGCTCTCCCAGTCTAAGCAAGGTCCCTCATATGTCTCCACATTGCATGTCTTCCATCACCTCCAAGACAAGGCCTCCTTCCACCTCCTGATAGTTCTTTTCTTCATCATCCTGCAGGCAATGAGGCGCATTTTTAAAAATCTTTCAGGATTTGGCACAGAGCTATAGGCAGTAATAGACAGTAAGGCACCACGTGCTTCTGTACTCTGTCTTCCAGATCTCTATGTAGGCACCAGCCAGAGATGGGGCAAGAGAAGAGGAGAGGAAAAGAGGGGGACAGGTGAGGGAGAAGAAGAGGAAGAGGAAGAGAGAAAGAGGGAATCAGCATGTCAGAGAGAGACGCCCTTCCTGTCTATGAGAAGTACAGGGGGAGGGGATGGGGATTTACCTCAGACAAGGAGGGATTTCTAAAGAGATTGGGGGTGGAGTCTGCCCTAAGCATCAAGAAACCAAGGGTATGGAAGCAGTCCGTCTCTAGCTGAATATAGGACCCTGTCTCCCAGGGTGGCAATAATAGAGGAGAGGAGTATGAGAGCTATATAAATTGAAATCAAAGAAAGTTAAGTCAGGGGCCTGCCTCGCGCTGCCTCCGAGGAGCCTCCAGAACCAGAAAATTCCTGGAGAGCTGGATTGATAGCTACTCACCCATGCCTTAGCACTTACCCATACCATAAGGGAAAACAGACCACAAAAGACACCTTGTAAATGTCAGAGTTAATCCCAGCCCCACCCACACTCTAGTTCCCATACCAGCAATTTTTCATAGAAACTACGAACAGATACAAGCTCCACCTCCAGAGATGGTTGACTTCTCTCTTCTTGCTTTTGTGAGGAGAGTCCACCACTGTCTGTCTCTAGGCGGCTTTTTTTGCCTATTCTCTCTGATCAAAAAACTGACTTCCTCTTTAAAAATCTGTGCTGGCTTGCATCTTGAATTATTTCCTGCAAAACCAAGAACCCTCCAACCCTGGGGGCTGGAGTCCCTACTCACCCCTCGACATCAGCAAGGTGTCTGAGAAGGAGCCTATCCTGTTTATCCTCCATCCCCAAGCCTCTCCCAATTCTCCTATTGGATTTTCACCACCGGTGGGGGGCGCTATTTTTTTGGGGGGAGGAACAAGACACAGTCTGGTCCTTGATGAGCTGCCCAAATGGGAGCTGGCGCTGTCCTTGGTACTGAAGCAGGATGGAGACCTGAGTTTAAGAAAAAGAGTTAGAATTCAAGACTTACAAACTCAACTACATAACATTTGGAGGCAAACCCAAGCCAAACTAAGTTAGAAGAAAATAATAAACTGGGCAAAGAAATTCATAATTATATTACAGCCAATGACTGTATTTCCCAACATCACAAGAACTTATTCAAATCCTTAAAAAAATACTGTATAAGCTAATCACGATGAAAAATTATATGAACCGTCATTTCATAGAATGGCAGAACAGAATAGAATGGAAAATACTAGTGACTATGAAACCTATTCTAAAATGCTCACCGTCCCTTAACAAGAGGAATGCAACTTAAAGCTACAGTGAGGTACAGTTTTCATCAGTAAGAATGCAATGATCAAAGCGATTGCTAACGCCCTCTGCTGTTGAGGTTGGAGTGAAGCAGAGAGGCTAACACTGCAGGGAAGTGGGGGTGCAAACTGGTTCAACCTCTTGGAGAGCCATTGGCCATGTCTATCAAAATTAGAAATGCATGTGCCCTTTCATTGAGTAATTCAAATTCATACAGATGCAAAACAGATGTACAACATTATTCCCTGTAGTGTCATTTATAAGTAACCAAAGTTTTTTTTTTCCTGATCAGTATGCCTTAGTTTAAAGACATTGTATACACATATGCAGTGGAATGCTTTTCAGTTGTAAAAAAAAAAAAGGGTAAAGTTCTTTATTTACTAACATGGAAGGATCCCCAAGAATAATTGTTAATTTAAAAATGAGATACAGCCCTGGCTGGTACAGCTCAATAGACTGAGTGCTGGACTGCAAAGCAGGGGGTCACCGGTTGGATTCCCAATCAGGCACATGCCTGGGTTGTGGGCCAGGTCCCCCGTAGGAGGCACGTGAGAAGCAACCACACACTTTCTCTCTCTCCTTCTCCCTCCCTTCCCCTCTCTCTAAAACTAAATAAATAAAATCTTAAAAAACTAAAAATGAGATATGGATCAATGTGTGTAGGATGCTTAGTGTCTAAAAGAATGCTCATACATACACAGAAATGCTCACATAAAATCTATATTTATATCTACACATAAAGATAGATATATAAGTATCCTTATATATGCATAAGTGTCTCTGGATGAACACATCAGATACAGTTTAGAATGGATGACTCACACAAAGAAAACTGGGAATCTGGGGCAGGAAGCAGAGGTGGCAGAGGTACTTTCTACTACATACTCTTTTAAACCCTTTGAATATATGAGACTATACAAATAAACTGCCTGAGGGAAATAATTATATTGAAAGTATTGAAAACTAAAGAGGCTGGGTGAAGAGTTAGGATAAAAGAGGCAATATCTGAGGCTTGAATGTGATTCTTGGGGAGGGAGCTGAGAAGTTTAAGTCAGCTACCAAAACAAAAGATCCCTTCAAGTGGTTCAGAGAAGTGAGGATGGAAAGTCCTTATAAGATTTGACAAGAAGAAGGTCTTTGTGATGGTGATGAGAATCAGGACTGATAACAGTAGACAGAGGAGGTAGGGAGCATTCTAGTACCTGTACTTTGCATTTCTGATCTCAGCCCTCCTACCATGCAAACCCCAAGAGATGGAGTCTGTTCTGAGGTGCAACAGACACCTTGTCCTTCCATCAGAGCCCTGCAAAGGAGGAGTTTTCTTCTTCCTGTAT